TAGTAGTAGTAGTAGTAGTAGTAGTAGTAGTAGTAGTAGTAGTAGTATTAGTAGTCGTAGTCGTAGTCGTAGTCGTAGTAGTAGTAGTAGTAGTAGAAGTGGTAGTGGTAGTGGTAGTGTATTCAAGAGTAATCTACTGTATAAGGGCTCAACCATCAGTCTCACTTGAACATCTCAAACAAATGCGTGCACCTTTTCTGCGAGAAGCACATGGGGCCCTCGCCGGGCCTGCAGGCCCTCTTTCGCTCTGGCTTGGCTCCACACCCCACCTGTGACTTATGTTTGACCAGTGCAGCCTGCAAAAGCCTTGAGGAAGGCTTGTTGGGAGAGGATCAGTACGTGGACTGGTCGTGCTGTCTAGAGTGTCCGAGCGGAATAACTATATATAGATATATAATTCAAATGTAGTGTTGTAGTGTTCTAAGACTTCAGAGCTCTGCCCTCTTGGACATATTTGATTAGCATAAGAAAGGTGGTCTCATTGATTTGTTGCAGCGTTCACAAATCCACAATACGTAGTCTTGCAGATTCTTCAAGATTCAAGACGGTCAAGGTACCCGGTCTCCGGGAAACCACTGTCACTATCTTGCACTCAATGACAGATACTTCCAGTAAGAGCTTGTGGTGGAGAGTCATCTGCCAGAGGAGTTGCTGTTGTCATTGCCTGGCCCCACAGCAATGTCCCAGCGTACAAAACTTGCGCATGGTCGCGGTCCATGCGTATCGCCCTGTCACTGGGATCTTCCAGTGTCCCCACAAGAAGACCAAATCGAAACGCTCCCAACAGAGAGAAAGAGACAGAGATCCAACCAGCTTTCATAGTCTCATGTACAACCTCATTCTATTCTGGGACACCACTGAAAAAATAAACAATAAAAAAATAACAATCATGAGTTGGATTTCTGACCCTGCAACTTCTCCAGACATTTGGAACTCTCTCTCACCCAATCTTCATGCTCCGTTTTCTTCAGAAACTCAGAGCTTCGAGTCTTTGCCTCGGACCTTGAGTTTTCCGCGGAAGTCCTCCAGGCGTTTGTAGCCTTTCCTGGGAGAATCGAGATCCAAGAACCACATCTGTCGGAACGCGAGGCAAATCACTGATTTCGGGTCATAAAAGGGTCTGTCTCGAGCTTGGGGACCACTACTTCCAAATTTCTTGTGTGTCCTCCTTTTTGGAGAACAATACCCCAGTCAATGCAACAGCCAAAGGATCAAAAGGATCCTTCTTCCAACAGTCACTTCACCCCGCAGCTGACCGGCTGTTACTAAGGATCAGGTCAAGAAAGAACCTGAGGCGATGTAAAATTGCTCAGCGGCCGGACCCAGAGGGTTTTAGCCGGCTTTCCGGATCTTGGGCATTCCACCACTTGCCCCAACCAGCTTGCCGCCAGCTGGCCGCCGCATGAGGTCTTTCAACTCCTCGGCGATGCGGTAGAAGCAGGTGGGGCCCTCCACCCGGTGCTGCGTCGCCACCTGGTGGAGCACCGGGGTTCGGAACCACAGGGAGCAGGTGGCGCACACGGAACTGAACTCGGTGGCACTTCTTGTGGTGCCTCACTGAATCATCATTGACCCCTAGGTCCTTGGGTCAGGCGAAGGGATGATGAGATAGATATATCAATGCAAAGAAAAACCCTTGGCACTATCGTACTGCCTGGCGATTTCCTCAGCCCCTTGACTGGTGCTGCCATGCCCTCCAATCGCTCCACCTGCACAGCAGTGGCTCCACAAAGGATGTGTGCGAAGGCGTCTTCTCCAGTGCACACTCCTTGCATCGAGTGTCGCATGCGGCAGGTCGGCGGGAGAAGGTCTCACACAGCAGGTCTTCATCTCGAGTGAAACCAACAAGTTCGGATTAAGCTGTTTCATGTTCATTCATTTCTATTCTTTGGAGAAGTTTGGGATGATTCTCCCAAAGGTTAAATGTTTGAAGTGTTGGTTGATGTTGTGTGTTTGCAGAAGTTTCCAGGTCTTGGATACTTGGGGCATCCTGGGACCGATCCTCTTTGGCGGAACAGCTGAACGCCCAGCGCGGCGAGGGCAATCAACCCATCGATCGCACCAGCACAGCAGCTTTGATGGCTCTACGAAAGCCATGGAGATATCTACAAGTCCTTGCTCCTAGTAGCAATGCCAGGAGCCCTTAGATATAATTCTAGTTTAATAGTTCTAGATATTTGCTGTATAATGCTGTATATGTATATAAAAAGAAACACGGTGAAGATGTTTACAATCCATGGCTGGAGGGGTCTTGTTCATCAACAGTCTGTCTATATGACCAAACCTCGAAAAAAGGATCGGTGGTTCCGGTGAGACTGTGAGGACAGCGGGGTCTCGTGGTCCAAGCAGGTTGCTGCTTCGCTTCAGCCTGAGGAGTGTGGAGCTTTCGCGGTTTCTTTTGGTGGACAATTGGAGAGGCAGCACAAGCTACCAGTAGCTCCGGTATCTGAGAAACTTCATCAAAGCCACCAGTGGCATGGAGCTGTTCGCGTTCCACTCATTGACTGCTTGCAATCATGCAAGCAACTTACGACTCTGCATCTTCTTCCTTCCCTTCCCATCACAAAACCGCAAAACGAGCATTAGGCCCTTACTAGATCACTATCACTAGGCCGTATTGTTGAAGAAAAAAGTCCTTCAATGCTTGGTAAGAGAGGGTTTTCCCAACAATATCCTAGTGTTGTTTGAGATGTTTTCAGAATGTCTCAATGTCTTTCATCATCCTTTCTTGATCTTTCTTGCCAGCCCTCAGGTCCTCCACAGCCCACCACGTGAATGCTCTCATCCAAGCGAGAGCGGAAGTGAGACACATTTCCCATGGCCAAATATCGCACCACTGGCCCTCCAAGGCCACCGAAGCCTCGCCACAGCGATCATCGGCCGGTTTTCGGGGGGGAATTTGAGGGCATGCTGGCATGCTGGCGCTGCCCGGGAAGTGAGCACAGTAGCGGTTCGGTGGTTCATAGCCCCTGCTTCAGATGTTTTTCACTGCTGAGAAGGCCCAAGACCCATTCTTGTTTGGGGATGAAGAAATGGGGTGCCTGGCCACATTGGGGCCACGGGCCACGTGCTTCTTTTCCGCCAACCACTCAAGCCACAAGCAAGGTACCTGCTTCAGCCTCTTTGTCTGTGAGGCACCCCACACATAGGCAGAACTATTGCAGGTCCACCAGGAATATCCAGGAACTATATTCAAAGCAGCAAGGAGAAGCTTAGAACTATATGGAAAACAGGGAGGAAAAGCTTGGAACTAGTTGAAAGACAGAGGGGAAAAGCTTGGAACTATTTGGAAAGCAGAGAGGAAATGCTTGGAACTATTTGGAAAACAGAGAGGGGAAGTTCAACAACACGGAGGAACCTAGAAACAACAGATCAACATACCACTATATGAAACCTTTTTGGAAAACAAGGCAAGCACTTGCACCGCTCAAGTAAATGGTTCTGCTCAAAACCTTGTAGATGTTGAAATAGTTCTGGCCAAAGGCTTACAAATGTTAAAATAGTTCTGGCTAAAAACTTGCAGATGTTGAAATAGTTCTGGCTTAAATCATGCAGGTGTTGAAATAGTTCTTGCCAAAATGGAAATAGTTCCATCAACCCTCAGATTTCCTCACAGAGGCCTCAAATAAGGAGGCTAACGCAGTTATTGTTTTTCATGGTTTTGCCTTGGAGATGATGCCACTTAAGTCACAACTGCCGTTGATGAGACTCGATGAGACTCCCGACAAAGCATCGGAATTGGCGTCTCTGTTCTAAGCACTTCAGACCATAGTTGACATAGGCATTAAACAAAGTCTAAGAATCCGGCTAAAACCTTGCACAGCCCATCTATTGTACATCTCTCATCGAGTCTTAATGAGTCTTATGCATGCCGACCTACGAAGAAGAGAAAGAACTTGGATACCTGGGCATAGCTTAGGAGATATGAACAACCGACCGGCAATTTCATGTGATGCGAGCCGAGTGCTCATGCGTTTCCGTCGTTCTCCAGCGCCCAGGGCCTCCTTTGGGGTGCAGGACCGTGGTTTCAGTCTCCACATCCACGGCCAAAGCACTCCCCAAGGTGTTGCAACCTCGTCTCTGCAGAGTGGTGTCATCTTCAAACCGTGAAGGAACTAAGAATCACCATGGACCGTTCGGTTCCCTGTTGCACGTTGCTGACTCCTGAACTCCTACGATCGTCACTCTCATCACTCTCCCAACGCTCTCTTTTTGCAGTAAATTGGCGCCATTGTATATTAATGTTACATGTTAACCGCCGAAACCAAAAGGCCAATCACTCAAGTCAATCAAGAGCTTCTAGCGGGCGTTCAAAAAAAAGCAAAAACAGTAGCTGCAGCTTTTGATTGCAAAGTCTGCTTACCGACATCGGCAGCCCAAGTGGGCATGACGTTGCCGCAGTCAAACAATCTCCACTGGCTGAGAATCAGCATCTTCAAACCGGCTTTCATAATGCCACCGAGTAGATGACAGCACTGCTCTCGAAAGTTTGCGTATCGGCCTTCATCCGCCTTTCGTTTTTCCAGGCACATCGTGAAGCAACTTAAGCCAAGAACCAGAAAAAGACATGAGTTCATCTTCTCCCCTACTTACTACTCGCATTTCAAGCCTCCTTTCATGCCCCCAGTGAGGACAGAACTGTTGTTTTGGCTCCTGCAAAGTTTCTCGACCGACCCACGACACCAACTGAGGCGTCCACAGACGACGTAGCCCAGCACTCCACCTGCGACGGAGCAGGACTACGGACCCTCCCCGGCGCCACTGGCACCATCGGACCCAGCGGCACCAGTAGTGGAATGGTGAAGCATAGCTTCTTGCTACTATAGTAGTAAGGCCAGGAGCCCCCTTCGTAGCGTCCTTGCCCCTTGCTCCCTTCGTAGCGAGTAGCTTCCTCGATCAATTGATTGAAAAAGTCTCCCCATTTGGACACGGTCCTCTTGTGTAGGGATCAACTTCTGCCATTCGCACTTGGGTGCTTCTCAAAAAATTAGGCAAGACCCCAACACCTGTAAGTCGGAAAAGCATCCAGGTGAAAGGCTTCAAGGGATTGCCAGAAGCTGCTAAACTCTGAAATCCCACCTGAACATGATATCCTGGAGCACCTCCCTCCCTCCACTCAACTTTAGCAAACCCTCCCTCCTGCAAGTCCCCCCAATCCACTAGTTCCAGGTGGAACTATTATCATGTTCATCAAACAAACTACACCATCTGGACCTGTCACCTGTCATCGAAATGTCACCCACAATAAAAGCAAAGGCTACACAGTACTGGCCCACTAAAATAACGAAACGCCGTCAACCTTCCCATTCCACGCCTTTGCTCTTGGCCAATGGATTCAGCATCCCCGCCACCGCATCGAAGAGCGGAGCATCCAGGTACGGTGGCAACTTGAAGCCCAGCGCCAGCGTGGGATTGGCGGTGAAGACTGGGTGGGCGCCTGCGTCGCCGAGGTGAAGTCGTGGAAGCCGAGAGAAGCGACTGCCGAGTGAAGAGCAAAGGTGAAGAGTTCAGAAAACCCCATAGGACTGGTAAAGAAGTGAAGAATCTGTCGGATCCTGTTTCAGGTCACCAGAACAGCACTTGCAGCGACTGGAGCTGTTTTTTTGTTGTTTTCGGGTGGGGAGTGGTGGGACAAAGACCGAAAGAGGCCCAGTTTGACGCATCCGTGGACGGCCTGCGATATCTGCGATGGGCCTCACAAACATACCTACGACGACGGGGGTACGAGCATCTTCTGGGTGGTGGATGTCTTCCATTCGAAGGGTGCATGAGTTAACATTCTTGTTGCTAGCTTGCAGACCATCAGCCAAAAAGGAGGAACAGAAATGCGTCCACCCGAAAGGCCCAGTCCAATGAGCCAAGTGGCTGATCTCTTTCAACACCGCCTCGAACTGGGGGAAGTCATATCCCACCAATGGCTTTCCTGCAAGGACCAGGGGTTCGCTTTCATAGCCACTAGCCCGTGGGAGATCTTATCGGATTCTGCAACCTAGAGGAGTGCCATGGAGGTGGTATGGAGGATCTGCTTTTCCTGTCAAGGACCCTATGAAGACTACCTGCAGCATCAAACTCACAACCTGACTGAGCTCCGCACTGTCACCGGAGTGGTGTCGCATCCACCCACAGTCTACCCAATATCTTCCTCTTCAATCATTAAAAATTAGGGTGTTGAGTCTTGAGATAGTCCTTTGGTCGAAACAAAAGAAGTGGCTCCACAAAATGAGGCCTCCGAAAAGAGTCTATAAAAAGAGCCGGTCCCTTTGTGTCGAATGAATCTGAATAGTCTACAAAATGAAGCCTTGTGAAATCAGACGTCTTGCATTCTTTGTCGGTCATTCTGTAGACCTTTTTCGAGGCCTCATTTTGTAGAGCCAAAAAATGTGTTTTACTGCACACTTGAGTCATATATAGCCCATACACAATGCCTCAAGAAAAATCTTTACAAAATGCTCTTTGGACTTGAGTCAGATAGCCCAAATATCTCTACAAAACGGCTTATTAAGAAAAATCTTTGCAAACTGCTCTTCAGACTTGAGTCATATAGCCCAAAATCTTTACAACATGAGCTCTTCAACTTGTTTTTTTACAAAAGCGACACGTTAAATTTGGACAATTTACTACTAATTGCTGAGCCTTGACGTTACTTTTTCCCAACAAAATGGCTGCCATTTCGTAGGGATAATTCCAACCGGGATCAACTGCCGAGATCGAGAAATTGTAAACTTCCAGGATCACTTTCACAGTGTCTGGGAAATCATTTTGATCACATTCTCAACCTCTTGAACTACGTCCGACTAAAGTCATTCCCCTCCTGGAACATTGGGACATGCCACATTCACCTCCACAGCGCTCCTTGGACAAGCAGTTGACGAATCGAGGGCAAACGTCTCAGCAGAACCCAAGTCTCAATGTTGATGTGAGAGACCAAGAGCTTTGACAAAAGGACGAACGAAATCACCCCCAACACCAGGAGTTGGTGAAACTACAGCCGGACGCTCAAAGTCATAGGTGCAGGGTTTGAATAGCTTTTCCATCGAAATTAACAAATAAACAATATCTATATACTGTGTATATATATATACTGTAGTCGTTCACAAAATGATATGTCGTTCACATCCGTGGATAATAGATTTTCCACTGAAGAGTTTACCTCTCTAAAGTCCATTCCCTTTCTATGTCAATCACCAGTAGTGCATGTCTGTCCACCTGCGGTACAAGTGCTGGGGAGTTGTCCAAGAGAGGTTTTTACTTTCTTTCTTTTTTTGTGGAAACCGCATGCAAGCAAAAAGAAGTCCGAGGTGGGACACTTGCAGACCTTGCTTCAAAAGACTAAGAGGGTTTTAATCTGTTGTCCATCTATATACTTACCTGTAGTGACGAGTTCGATGCTTGGAGTCTCAGAATGGTTTGGAACCAACCGTTGGTTCCAACAACCGATGTCGCACCTAGTGTCGCACCTCTGGACCCTTGGGCCCTTGTGATTTCTTTCTCAGACATTCCAAGACTCGTTGTCTCAACATGTCTCAATTAAGAACGAAGCATTCACTCTCTCTGGTAATGGAAGAAAAGGCAGTTCGCGCTTTTTCGGCCAAGATTCAAATGCTCCACCGAGCCTGACTCTAGCAGCAGGTCCAGCATGCGCAAATTCTCCTGAACCCGTGGCTTTGGTCCTTTGCAACTCCATGCTCAAACCTCGCAACCCTTCAATCCCCTACACATCACCCCCTTTCCAAGCTCTGCAGGATCCTGAAGCCTCTTGACTTCTGAGAGATCTCCTGAAGAAATTAAGCTCCCGATTCCTTCAGCTGCCCAGTCTTCTCAGAGTTGTCCCACCTGAAGGGACAAGCCAGAGATTGACAAGATGTAGGGCTTCCCCGCCGGCTCCGCAGACTCCCGCAGCCTGCAGTCCGGTCTCCGTGTCAGAACATCCATGCACCCGTCCTTCCACAGATGGAAGTCTACAGTCTTCAACAAAACGTGTTCAGAAACCTACAGTAGATTCACTAACAAGAGCCTGCTGCCTGGACCCATGTCTTCTTCGGTGGGTAAAAGTGTCGCGAAGAGTCTTGGGGACCTGTCAGAAAAGACATCAGAACTCAATCTTTGGTACCACACCATCAAGGGTACGAAGACGGCGAGAGCTTTGATGCAGCCCGGGAGTTCGGAGTTCTCAGCATTTTACGGACTGTTCCGAAGATGTCTCAACAGTTCCCAACATCTCGAGCCACGCAAACGCATGACGTGTGGATTTGGAATGAAGGAGTATTATTCCAATGGCCTCTTTTCGTCCCCCACAGTTCGCCTCTCCCATCCGCAGTCGGCGTTCCGGGCCTCCGCAGCAAGGAGGCCTCGGTGTAGGCGGCAAAGCCCTTGTTCGGCAGGCCCTCCGAGTTGATGCTGGAGGTCCTCCGAGCTGCTACGGGAAACGGAGATCGATCGAACAACACTCCCATAACACCGACTGTGGCAGGTCATCTCAACACTTCCAGAAAGGAGTTGCCCTAAATGTAAAACTGCTTCCTTAGGTAGCCCGTTAGATGCTTCCCAAGAAAAGGAGGACAAGCTCGATGATCAATTTAGCTACTAGTCTTCTCCAAAGGGCTGATCTATGCGCTGGAAGGGTCCCTGCCTGGATCGCTGTGAGGATGTTGAGGATGCAAACTAGTTTAGCCGGTGAAGCAGCTCTTGCAGCAGCGTGGCTGGGAAATTGACAAACAGAACAGCAGAAAAAGTAAAAAATATGCGAGCCAACATAGAATTGAAAGATCATATCACCAAACAATCACATCCTTCCTTCAACCCCATGTGGGATCCCCAACAAAAAGGGATCATCTCTATCCGATCCTCCAGATGATCGGACACATAATTTTACATATCACGGCGCCCGGCCCTCCGAATCTCCTGTCCCCCAACTGGATCTCAGTGTAGCGCGGCTGATCATTTCCACTTCGCTCCTCCAACGTGGCACCTGTCTCCGGCGTCGAGCGGCCGAGCGGCGCCGTCGCTCCTTTTCGTCGCTCAAACGACGTCACCTGTTTTCACGTCGTTGACGGGGGTTTGGCGGTGGAAAACGGACGTCCCCAAAGCAGTGAAAAAGGCCCCGGTTGAGGGTGTTGCAGCGTCAGGTCAGATTCGCCATGTTTCCACACACTGCTTCATGTCGAGAACAAAACCCAAGGCTGCAAGATGCAAGACCAGTGAACATAAATTCGCGCTGGCTGCGACATCTCTCCCTGGAGGGAAGCATCACTGGGACCCAGTTGTTGGGGCTTCCTTCATCCTCACAAGAGTTTACCCAAATGATGTCAAGAGTTTACCCAAATGATGTTCAATTCCTACGAGCTCCATCATGGCCTCATGCAGGGGCGCTCCTTTTCTTAGTCATGTTCTTTGAGATTGGCAAAATCATTCAACAGCTAAGAGAAGCGTTCATGATTATGATCTGATGCGCGTCCATGGGTATGTCATTCAGTTCATCTACACACACCACCAAAATCCATGTGTTCAGTCCGGCCCCGAAAGCAATCATGTGGCCAAGGAGTTAAAAGAAGAACTGCCAGCCGCGGGGCCCGTAGGGCTCCATGAACGACAGTAAAACCAGCTTTGCATCGAGCACTTCGATGGTGAGTTCCCATACTTTGTTCTACAACTGTCTCAAACGTTCTGACTGCCCAGCGTTATTTTCGATTCTGAGAAACCTATCGAATGGACACCTTTTCTTGAGGAGCAATCTGCGGAGTCCGGAGAAAATCCAAACCATAGCAACCAAGCACAACCCGAGACACTCTTGGAGCAAACGGCACCAGCAGAGCTTCTCGCAATCTCCAGTAGCTGCTGCTCCGTGTTGGTGCGGGGGCCACTGGCGTTCCTGGGGGCACCAGCGGTGTTTGGACAGCAGGGCTACGGGAGGTGATGTCCAAGCACCAAGCACCACAACCTAATGACCGGATAAAGTGGCTTGCAGTGTCAAGATCTCCCGGACCCTCAATTCACACCGCTGAAACAATCTCATCCAGAATCTTACCAGCCAACATCAAAAGTGGTTCAAGAGAAACATGGCTGAAACTAAAAACCTAAAACACACCCCTCCCTCCACGCAAAAAGTGTGCCTTGAAATAGATTATATACCAAGATGCAAGATGCAGCTTGAGAGGTGAAGTCCAGCCAAATGGCAGCCGATATCAACGTCAGCTGCTTCCATAGCTCTGCCTATAGATAGTAACCGAACAAACAAGAGGCTACAAAAGGATCTCCGTTCAAGACTGTGCATACACTGAAAAACTGCCTATTGCTTAAAGACCTCTATTAATTACAAACCTGCTGGTCGTTCTGCTGGTCGTGAAGGGAACTTCAAAGCCATCACCTGCGACCTGTCCCTAGCAGTGTGCTGCTTATCTGCCCTATTTCATGTGCGGCTTGAGCAAGCTTTTTGGTCAGAGCACAGCTTTGGGGGAACCCGAGAACAAGAGCAGCTTTGCCAGCGCGGCTCAGTGGGCACCTGCTGGGCACATGATCCTTTGCCCCACTGGTGGGTTTTTTAGTTTGTTCCTAGTAGCTTCGTGCTCCTAGTAGTAAGGCCAGGAGCCCCGTTCGTAGCGTCCTTGCTCCGTTCGTAGCGATGCCAAGAGCCCCGAACGTAGCTTCTTGCCACTAGTGGTAAGGCCAGGAGCCCCAGGTTCCTCACCGGGAGTTTGAGGGTCCCTCTCTTGCTAGCTGCTAGCCTCCCTGCTGGGCGCCACCTAAAGGAAGGTCCCTTGATGGGCGCTGTTCATGAACGCTTGCAAGTCCCCCTTTCGCAAGGAGAGCTATAGTTGACAGGCAAATCTGTGCGAACTGATAGTGCTCCACCTGTTGGGACAACCTGTGACAACCTCCACAAAGTCACACCCTGACAGCCCTCTTGAAGGTCTCTGCCTGCATCTTCAAGAAGCTCTCCGCCATTCGCGAGGGGCCCTGCCAACGTGATCAGTGACCATTTTGCTGAACCAGTCATTCATGCCCCCCGTTCCAAAAGCTGGATCTTTCAATATCTTTCACGAATTACGTTGCGAATTGAAAATGGTTGGCACCTCCAGATTATAACATGACATGTAAAAAAACTCACAAAAGGCTCTGGATGAAGAAAGCCTTCGTCGAACATGAGAAACGTGATCGAACGGGACATCCAAATGGGACAGCCCCTCGAGTTGTCTGAAACAGATCCAACTTCATCCCTTGGTCGTCCATCCTTGATCATGGACATCGGCCTTGTTGTGCCGATTATAGGCAAAAGGATCCTCCGTGTCATCCTCGTCATTGTATCTGAGCCACAGAGAGTCTGAGCGGCTCTGCTTTTGACCGGTGAGAAGGACGCTGCCTCCATGTCAATACACGAAGTGAGCGTGTAAGTACTGTAGAATATTTTGTGTATAATGACGTGCCAATCTGGCATGAGGGAGAGAAGCAAACCGAGGATTGAAAGGGGAAAGCGAACCAAAGAAGATGCAAGGACCCAGCTTCCAATGTCAACCACCAATAGCATGATCATGATCAAGCATTTTCTGGAAGGCAAATGAATGACCCCCCAAACTTGAGCCCGTTCTTACGTTGACAGTAACAAACTGCTCTGCTGAGTGCTTGTCTCATAATGGCCCCTGCCCACTCCACGGATGATGAGTATTGGGTTACTCGTCAAATCAAAAAGAACAAAAAGCAAAAGCATTCGTCAATCTTTTTGCATCAACCATCTACAGGAGACTTCCTTTCTCGATCTTTCTCGCCATCAAAGCTCCACAGAATTGCTCTCTTCCTCCAAGAACCTCCAAGTTCCCTCCATCAGTGGCTCCAAGCATCATCCAAACTTGGATATCGTTGTCCCTCAAGGCCACCTGACAACGGCTGAAGAAGTGAAGGAAGTCCATCAGATCAATGGCTATCGGCGTCATCTGTCTGAGCTAAGGGGATATACAAAAGAGATCCAAATCTCCTCGTTGCCACCTACCTGCTGTATCAAAGCTATTCCTCTTGCCAGCCCTGTACGTCTGTTAGTGATGATTCGATGGGTCCACAAATTCATACTTTCATCTTGAACCCGCACCTGTTGTTTGAGATGCTTCAGCAGCGCACACAAACTCTAGCCGTGCGTGGCTCTGTTAGCCGTTCTTTTGTTGGATTCCATCAGCACTCAGCACTTGCGCTTGTGTCGCCTCCACATCAAATGGCTCGAAGGGCACAAACTTCAGATCAGCCATGTCCTGCATGATTCTGTTTTTGGCCCGCTACACCCCCATCGATACTTCATTAAGTAGAGACTACCTACTTACTGTAACTAAGTGAGGGAGTAAGCTAGTAGGCTAAGTTAGCTTCTAGGTACGACAAAGGATAGCTCACGCTCGCACTAATGATTTGGTTCCTAGATTGTTAGGGAAACTCAAAAGTATATCAGTGTGGTGACAACTTGACATTTCACAGGCTGGATTGCATGCTTGACCAAATATTACGTTACAACAAACCTGTATAATTCCTAACCCCAACCACTAGACTTGCAAAGGCCACTAGTTTATATACTTTGCAAAGGGAAAGGCAAAAGACACATAGAAATCACTTGTGGAATCCGTCATCCACGTTGTTCACACCCGGAAAATCAATAAAGAACGCCGAACACGCCTTTGGATCCCAGTCGAACTCTTCGAAACCGACTTCGAAGAAGACTCTCGGTCCGCCCCCAGCAGCGCACGAACGACCGAAACGACGCTCAATAGCTTCTTGTTAGTACTAGTAAGGCACCTGTTACTACTAGCGATGCACCTGTTACTACTAGCGTGGCACTTGTTACTAGTAGTAACAAAAAGCTATTCGTCCGCTCCTGGTTGTAGACGATATGCGTGGGACTTAAGATGTGAGGCGTCTCCGCCACCAGCTGAGCGAGATGCGGCGAGATGCGGTAAACACCCGGCGTCGGCGTCAAAGGCGAGACCTGGGTGCCCTAATGCCCTATATAGGTGTTTATTCGAAGACGACTCAGGATAGGGCAATCTGTTTTTTTTTGAAAAAATGAACCACCATGAATCAGATATGTTTGCTTATAATTAACCAGAATAGCGTTGACGACATGTGAGGAACTGACAGTTCAGACTCAATGGTGAAAACGCCGCTGGTCAAGCCGTTGAGAACTACTCGGCAAGGTCAAGAGCAAGCCAAACGAACCCAACGATCCCCCGTCGGGGACTCTTTGTCACATACAGATATTAACTATTAACTATTATTATATAATATAATATAATGTTATATAATATAATATATATATAACTAACGTACCTGATGATTAGTATGTAACTATGTTTACAGTTTTATATACACGGATTGGTTCCGTAGGTCTTGCCCACCCAAAAACAATACGTTTGACCAGGGGCTAACGGGTGCTCTTTCCCGTGCTACATCCCTCTGTAGGGTTGAGCATCCCCCTGGCCCTCAAGCCACAGAACCGCCGGTGAGGTTCACCGGCCGAGCGCCGTCGGATCTGACCGAACCATAGACAAAGGGGATCCTTCGCAGCCCACGCATTCATGGGGGCTACTTGGGTGCCCCACGCGGTATACAACCACTTATTGGACGACGCAAGTACTTCGTCTGGTGAAACGATTCGAATTCGGATGATTTACTGTGGTTGTGATCCTCCGTGGCCGCTTCTGAGCCTGGCCTACAGAACTATGACAAGGCTGTAGAACACGTATGACTGTCTCTGCTTTTTGGCCTTGTAGAAGATGCAAGAGCCCAGGCCAAGGGAGAAGACGCTCACATGCGCGATATCCAAGTGCCTCTGGCAAGAGAATTGCATTGACTTGCACATCAATCAGTGCATGTCTCTATCCCTGTGTCCACCGCTCGCATGCAGGAAAAGGTGGGGATGGCCCATCAGCCGAAGTCAGCTGAAGACAACTAGGGAAAGCCAACATGAGGTGGTGCTGTTGGCTGTTGCAACATGTGCGATGAACTTCTGAACAAGGGCAGGCCCCCGGTTCTTCTCAACAAATGAAGGACAATGGTCAGGGAGTCCTCAATCCTTGATTGATTGAAGGTCCCTGCCTGCAACCCCCACCAATGCAGGCGCCCTCAAAACGGAGACAAGAGTGAAATGGCCGAACAACAGCAAAGGGAAGAAGGAGTAAGAAGTATTAACCGCCTCATGAAAGCAAGAAAATAACTTATATATTTGTCTTGAGTCTTGAGTGCATCGCAACGGAAAGGCATGTCCATGAAAGGCCATTGGTTGGAAGGGAAAGTTCCTTTGAGGGCGTAGGCTAAGCCCACTATAGACCACCCTAGGTCGACTATACGTACCTCTAACGGCGGGAGTTTTGTATGCTCTTGAATCTGAGATCTGAGAGAAACGGACGGAACAAGGAAGCTACGAACGGGGCTGGCCTCACTACGAACGTGGCATTCTTACTAGTAACAAAAGTAACAAAGAAGCTAGTAGTAACAAGTGCCTACAGTAGTAACAAGTGCCTTATTAGTAGTAACAAAGAAGCTAGTAGAAAGAGAAGTCGACGTCCACCGTCGACCGCGCCTCAAGACACCTCGGATCACTGCAGGACCTGCGCAGTGGCGAAGGGAAGGAAAGTGACTGGAAAGTGGCCGCATAAAGGACATACCGTGGAGTGTCTTCAGTCAGCTGAATCTCGCAGATGTCGGCAGATGTGGAGTTCATCCAGGATTTTACCTAGATTTAGATGAAGGTCTGGAGATGTCTGGAGATGTCTGGAGATGTCTGGAGTCTAGTAGCAGCTGTGGATTTCTGAGGTTGTTCAGGATCTCTCTTCATCGCTCCCAAAAGCAACCGTTTGTCAGTGAGGTCGTGGATCATGCTGGACACCATCACCCGCCGGTGAACACCAAAAACCATCATGGTTTCAAATGGTTTAACGAAGCTGTTTCCCCTCAACTGTGGTCCAAGAAGTTGTCTCTCAGGTTGCGCTCGGGCAATGTAGCCAGCTGTGCAAACAGCTGTGCAAATGTGTCGATCACAAAAAAAAGAACTGTCCACCTCTTGTTCCAAAGGTCTTCAACACCATCAAACTGCTGAAGCTGCACCCAGGTTCGAAAGCTTCCTCACAAGTGGTGGCAAGGTGTTTAAAAAATAAAACGGTACTTGTTGGAGTGTTGGAGAACCATTGGAGGGTGAGCTCCCACGACCTTCGAGACCCAACGAGACCCACTTTCTGCCCGCGCACCATACTGCATCCAGCGATCTCGGCTATGTCCCAAGGATGGCGACTTAGTGAGGACGCCAACGAAGGACCATCGATTTCGAGCACGTCGCACCCACCCACGGACTCGCCATGGCTTTCTAACACGCTGCTTTCTTCATGCGTTGGCTCGGCTTCGTAACGAAAAAAGAAAAAGCCGAAGGCTTTGCTGGCCGCTCTGACAGTGTGTTGCCCCGTGCACAAAGCTGTCTTGTGAGTCTTGTGCATGAAGAATCAACATAAAACTGAGAAGAAAGTGTTGAAATTGAACTTTCACTATCTGCATGAACTCTTGCACGCTTTTGGCATTGCTCTCCGAGAAGCAAAGATGTCCAAGTTTTGATTGTTTCAGGTCAATGATGACTGAGTTCTCTTCATGTTGGGCACAAACCCCCCAAACCTAGGCACCCAGCGTCAATGATGACCACATTGTATTCCTTCAGGAAAAAGTACCTGTCCCGGTGGCTTAAGGCTCTTCCTGTATCAAGACACGCTTTTGGAGCTTTTCTTTCCAGCTTATCTAGATCGGGCTAGTGAGCTATGGCCACAGTCTTTGAGAAAGTGCATGACTCCATCCAACTATTGAACATCCCAGAAGCCATTATAAGGTTATTGCTACTGCTACTGCTACTCCAATATCCTTGCCAACAACATCCTTTCAGACCACAATGGATTGATGTGAATAGCTGTCTAGATCTTCGGCTCTGGATTTTACAGGATGCCTGTGAAACTTTGGAAAAAGAATGAGCCCTGACCATTGGGCCCATTGCTTTGTAATTGGTTCATGTGTTATACGGTTCTACATGGTTATACCATTAATGCCATTGTTCAGCCACTAGTTCTACGAAAAGTGGGTCCATGCAAAGGTTATCCGATTATCCCCGCCCAGCCCATCCTACCATGGGAACCCACCCACAGAGAATGAACAGAATCATCCACTGGGCCACGATTCTTTGATCCTGGTCCTTGCCCAAACAAAAACGACAGAATCGCCTCAGACCCCCGAGGAGAAAATATCCATAGCCTACAGCCCCCAACATCCACCCTTCACTGAGTGTACCCACACAGCCGGCTGAATGAGCTGTGCCCAGTGCGCTTCGATGCTACCCACTTCGCCAATGAGTAGTAACGTCTGCAGCAGCGAGGAATCGGAGGGACCAAAAGCCAAACCTGAAATGGAACTTGGGACCTCTTCATTAAACTCAACGTCTGGGGGGAGTTAATGATTGATAGAAAGGAATTATTCCAACCTTCGGACCTTTGTTGATATATGTTGATATACTGTAAATCAGTTGAGTTATTAAGTCTACCCATGTGTACCCAGCAACTCCCCAAACAGGCCTGGCAGATTATTCCAAGTCCTTTTTGTCAAAGTACAAGGGAATCAGCACTGGAAGGATTCCCGCAGAGTATCCCGCCATCTCTCTGATTTCCATCGTGCTCTCTATCTCTCTCTCAGTTCCATCGTGTGCCTTCTTCATCTTGAAGCGCTCTTGAAACTGCAAGTAATCCGCTGTAACGCCACGCGAGTGGCACAGCGAGCGCACCGTCACCTGTGCGAAAAAAGTGACAGAAAGGCACACTCCTCCTGGAGGATGTTCATCCCTTTCTCACTATATGTGGGCGCTTTAGGTTTAACATAGTGGAGGCAAACAGGTTTAAATTCAAGTCCCTGAAATTATCCTATCAATTCCCTTTTGAGCTGCTGAGATTCGTTCACAGACCTTGGATGGCCAGTCACGAAAAAGCCAACAAACCTCGGGAGAAATGCAGCCGAAAATCTTCCCTGCACTCATGTTCCAGTGGTATTTGCTCAGATGTTGACATTCCTCACATTGGAGTCCCCGCTGCTGCGAACAGAATCTTGATCTGGGAGGAACTATGTTTGTTCGATCTGTTACCACATGGGGACGGCAACGGCGTCAGCACCAGCTCTCCGCCTCATTCATGTCGTATGTCCATCGTACACCAAGGGCAGAAGCATGTGTTTCGGGGGCTCGGGAGTGGGGAGTGGGGTTAAGGGGCTAATTGAATGCATTGTAAAATCAACACACTGTTGCAATCAACACAGTGACCGTTTCCCATTGCACGAGCATTGGACCCACTGTTTCACGTTGCACGGACATTTGAGACCCTGCTTCACGATGCACGAGCATGAGACTCACTGCTTCAAGTGCGAGCATGCGACACACGCTTCGCGTATACCCATGAAGTCATGAACGATGTTATGTGAATGGTACCAGTTCCTATTCATTGCAGCATGGACACTGTTTCTATTGGGGAAAGGACTGCCATGCGCGCGTTTTCGAGGGAACAGCGCGGTGTTTTTCCACGTGTCCACGAAACCGTCATCTGCAGCGACAGGCGACTGACCTGTCCTCCAATCGCATGTGCTCTTCCATGGCCAAGAACTGATCCACGAACATGTCCATCAAATGGCTCCGCTCCTGCAATTTCGAGAGATCCCACGCAGAAGCCCGAAATTGAGACAGACAGTCCCCAGAAGAACAGTCCCCTCCACGGTTGGCAAACGATCGTCACCAAACGAAGACTCCGCCCCGGTGGCCCTGTCCGAGGAGGACGTGTGGGACATGTGGCCATGGAGGTCCATGTTCTAGCCAACCAAACCCAGGTTTCTCTCCGATGATGGTAATTTGGGCTCAACTCTTGGCCTTTGTTGCTTGCTGGGTGCGTGCCATAGGGAACAAAGCGATACAGTATGATGAAGTGGACATAGGGTGGCAAAAACTTGCGAAACTAATGCTATTAGGATGGAGGCCATCCCTAGTAAGTTGGAGGCCATCACTTTTGAGGGTGGAGGCCATTGCTGTTAGGTTCCTTTTGCTATTAACGCCTTTTGCAAGTTCTCGGTCCAAAACGGTTTTCTCTGTCCAAAACCGTTCGCGTCCGGAGCGAAAACCTTCAGAACCGATTTGGGGCGCCAGGAACGGGCAGCCGGAACGGCGCCAGGATGGGCTCATCCAAGTGATGTCGCCTTCGAAGGGATCGACCGACCACACGCCGAAAACCCCGTCCTTCGCACCCAGCTTCAGCTCGCGGGCGAAATCCCTGAGATGTCCCGTGAAAATCGGCACACGGAACGCGGAAGGGATTGGAACGGGCTGATCTGGAACGGGACAAGTTCTTGTCCTGTGAAGCTCTTGAGCTTTGGTAGAAGTCAATTGGTCATCCAAATAGACCAAATATGTAAAAGTAGAGCACTAAACATGTATTGGACACCGTTTCTAAATATGTTTCTATCTATTTGGGGACCACTATAGCCCAAACGAAGAGAGGTCGAAACCATCCTGACCGTTGCGGGCCGTTACGGGTGACGGGTTCCGGACGTGACTCGTCCGGAAAAGACCGGCGAAGCACCTCCCTGTTTGGTACTGGTTGCTGGAGTACCTCCAGTACCTCCTCAAACAGTGTAGTACGTCCTCATTTAGAATCCTACTATATCTAATACTTCCTGGGCTATTAGGAGGCCATCGCTAGAAACAAAAAGAAAAGGAAGAAAGGTCTAATACTCCAAGTTGCTTCAGCAAGCCGAACTCCAGTTCTGGCCTCAGCCGCGTCGCGAAGGAGTGGAAGGATGGGAAGGAGTCCCATGCGCGATGCGACCGCACGAGGGCCGGGTCGAAGTCGACGGTCGAATGGTGTTTTTAGTGAAAGGAAAATGTACAACTGTCATTACATACTGAAGTGTAAGGAAAAACAAGGAAAACTCAGAGTAAAAACAGGTAAAACAGAGATCCAAGCACAGAGCACATGAGATTCTGCCCGATCTGCCAGCCTTCTGAATCAAGAATGGAACACTAGCCTCACTGATCTGAAACCTCCCTTTAGTGGCAAGTCCACAAACACATACTCTCATACTCTCATCTCCGCATCTCAACCCAATCAGACCGACCGAGATCGGTCGAAAACGTGCCCGGCTGCACCTCTCTCCCCTTCCTCTGAGTCTCACGGCAAGATGTGCGTCTTCGTGGCATCCCGCATCTGTGCCGGCACAAACACGGCCCATGGTGCGGGCGCCCGTTGAACGCCCATTGAGACCTTCCTTCCATTCGATCCATCGACCGTAGAAGCAAACCCCTCCTGTCCCATTGCTTTGGAGTGCAGTACTTGGCATCGCTGCCCCTATCCATGAGCCCTCAGGATCTGCTGTCACTTCGAAAATGCGAGAAAACCTACACAGCTGTGGGTCAAGACGCACAAAGACCGCTAAACATCTCGAAAAATCTAGTTTGTGTTGCATACAGTCTTCGACCTATGAGAATGCTCATGCTCAAGTCTCCCAACATTAGACTTTGCCATTTGGCCCAAACTTGCCACGAGAAAGACATGTGAGCATTCATATAGGCTGCAGAATGGCTCACATCTGGTAGGGAAGAACTCTCGCACAGGATCTTTCACCAGAAGCTGCTTAGGCCCAAAGATTGGAGGCTTTCCACCCGGATTCTTGGAGTGGCTGGTAGATGTTTGCCCGCGCTCCGGCACCAGGAGTGGTAGGATCGAACCACACCGGAAAATGGCTGGAATGCGGTAAAAACAGCCAATCTCGAACTCCCAACAGCTGCTCAATTGGCTCCTACAGTAGCCTCTTTTCATAGAGATCCTGTACAGTTCCTCCAGGAGTTCTGCAGAAAAAAAGAACTCGCAGCGGGATCCCGGACTGTGCTGCGGCCCACATGCTGGAACTTCAGGACCTTGGCCCCTCGCTCCTGTGCCAAGCCGCTTTGTTTGAGCTGATGATACAGAGAGACAAAGACAAACAGAGAGAGAGAGAGAGAGATACCTCCCAAAATAGGTGTTTAGAACGTTTAATGCTTTGAGTTTCGCAGACCCATGTCCATCAATGAAACAGTGATCTGCGATAGAAAAGTGAGTGCCCGTGGGTTCCATGTCTTGAATACAGTAAAGACCCTGTGTTCAGGGACCTTTACAGACTCTTCTTTCGTCAGATCGCATTTCGTTGAATTAACTGGATGTCTGGCTCTCTACTCTGTACATGGTCAGTGCAATCCAAACACTGTTTGAGAAGACTCGCAACGACCAATCGGCATGAACACCTGTCCTTCCAAGTTTGTCCCTTGGGATGGATCACCAGTCCCGTCTCAGCAGTGAGAATGGAGACCAGCAACAAATAGGAACCAAAAAGCCGGCATATACCACCTGAGTTTATATTGCACCCTTTTGATTCAAATAGATGAATCGCATATAATTCTCACGAAAACCCAAGAAACCAATCGATCTCAACATCCTTCGTTTGCACTCCTTTTTGAGTGCTTCAAGGTCACCCTTCAGCACCGCTTGCAACATCTCCTGGACGAGCGGAGTTCGCCGGAACCGGAGCGAGAGGGACATCGGGGGAGGACAAGCAGAGTTCGCCCACCTCAGATGGGTCTTCCCCATCCACTTCGTCCATTCAAAATTGGAGTGTGTATTCTAATAGGGAGACCCCCTGGCCGAATGGGTTTGGGATGGTTTTTGGTGTATTTATGTTTATTTACAGTAATATGTTCCTGTCCAGGGGTCGAACTGGGAGGTCTCCCTATTTGTCTACACGCCCACATGTCTTTCTTTGGAGAAGAGCTTCAAACAGACGGTCTTCCGAACCAACAGTCTGGCAACGATCTGGATTCCGATTCTTGAAGGAGCGAATGAAAAAGGCCTCGACTATGGGTCTTTGAACAGGGTCTTGGACAGATCTCGCAAGGCAACACTAGTTTATTGTGAGGCAAAGCTCCAAAAAGCTTGGTAGGTAATGCTGTGCGTCTGTGTGGTGCAACTTGTTCAAGAGATTTGGGTCACACAGCCGATATTGATCTAAGCAAGCTTGGAAACTCTCCGCGCCGAAAGCTGACAGTTTTCACCTGCTTCCACGTGTTGTGTAAGGCCAAAAACTATTGAAGATGCCTTGCAGCAGCCAGATAGTGCTACATTGACAAGTGTCAATTGCCGGCAAGTGCAGTCATTCCTCAAGAGCAAACCATCAGCCAGTGGTCGATCCTGCTCTACATGGCAATCTGAATCTGCAAAATCCCATGCAATCAACAATAAAGAGAGGAACAGAACTTGGGCGACCACACAATCTTTCAAGGTTTGCTGAAATTTGGGTTCCGCCATGAATGCATGCATTCTGTATGGCAGCATGGCAGCCCGAAGCCAAGATTTGCTTGGCTGCTCAGGGTGCTGTTCGCCCACCTGAGTGAATTCATTAACTTGAAATGGTCATCCGTGCTGGCACGAAGAATCAATCACCTGGCCAAAATGGATCCGACACTGCCATCAAAAGGTGGCTAACTTACTTTGTAAGTTCAACTGTCCACCTAGGATCAGGCATGGCTTGAGACACTGGTCCTTTCGATCAATGTTCTCTGAGCCTCCAAAGACTTCAATCTGATGGCGAACATCTTTGCGTGCATCAAATGGGCAGCGGCATTTCATGGCGCAAATGGTCGAGTTGCTTCCGGATGATTTCGGCATAATGTCCACCCCTGGATGTAATGAGGCCCAGCAGAGCCGACCTGAACAACACACAGCGGTGTCCCTTTCGAGTTTTCAATGTTTGGCCGATTCGTGGGTTAATCTGAGCAATTTCGCTGAAAACATTTTCAGAAAGCGTGATGTGAGCAAAGTCGCAAGGACATCTTCTTCAAGGATCCGCTAAGAAAGCCTGGGCAAGTTCTCAGGAAAGCGACTGCGCACCAAGGATCCCAAGTGCATTTGACCACACAACGTACCGTGACAACCGTTGAGTCCAATGACCGCTCATACCGGTGGTGGTTCGATAGGCATTCTCAGACACAACAAGCGTTTGTCGTTTTCATGGATTGCATTGCTGTCGGAGCCAACAGAAAAAATCCGTAAAATACAAAAATCCTGGAAAGGAACTCTTTCAGATTCTTTCAGTCCATCTTTGCAAGCTACTGCTCAGGTCTTTTGTAACTGCTGTGAAAACAAAGCAACAACCCCAAAAGCGATGTGTCAAAGCCAAGCAAAACAAAACCCAATATTTGGCCGACGTGTCAAAATCAAGGAAGCCAAAGCCGTTCAGAAAGACCTCAGTTCAACGGCATTGTCGGCGTTTGACCCTGCAGAACCTTTTGCAAACAGTGAATGAAAACACAGGTGACTGCGTGTCAGCTGAGGGTGCATGCAGATGTTTCAGCGTGAGCTGGAAATGGAACTTGAGGAGGGTGGCCCAGTCAGATTTGGCGCGATCTACGAGATCTTGGCGCAGCGCATCGAAGTGATCAAGGAGACGCGCCCTGAACACTGCTAGTGGGAGTGTTGCAGCCGATTCAAGACAGACTGGAAACCCCAGCGCTGAAACTCGCAGACACTTTTGGAATGACGATCAGGTTTGGTTTGTTTTGGATGAAGGTTAGAAGTTACAATGCCAGTGGTTGCGCAAGGCTGTTGAGAACTTTGCTGCAATTGGATATGATGTTGCAAAGGTGTTTGATTTGCTCCAAGACCTTGGAAATTATAGGGTTCCATTTGCGTTGACCTTTGTGGGCGAGCATGAGAAACACAATTTCCCCGGTATCATGGAGATGCGTGTGATTCCTGGACGCGTGCGTTTGCAGCTTTCTCAACCTTGACAAGCGGCAATGAGCTTGGTAAAGCTGATGGTCAAAAGGAAATGCACCATTGGCGTCGGGGGCCTGTTATAGAATTGCTGGGCAAAGGAGAGTGGGCTACCTTGCGTCAACTTATCACAAGCATTGAGCAGGTTGAAGGACAAGAAATTAGCTTCTATTTTTGAAGGAGTTGAGAGTTCAGGTACAGTACCGGTCGCGTGGAAAAAAGCTCCAAGTTCATCACCAAAGGGCGTGAGTTTTGCGCGGCAACGCAGGACTATGACCAGGCCATCGACACCAACGCGAAGGCGTTCACGGTTTGTCACCGCTGCAATGACCGCAAGGTGTACATCTTGGCATTTTGTGGATGGGAGGCCCGGATCATTCACCATCTCTCAGGAGTCGTCACGTTGGTACTCACCTGACATTCGATCGGATCAGCAGCTGGTTTGGTCGAGCGCTTGAAATCGTTCATGTCACGAGGTGCCACCATAGCAGGAACCTTTTACATTCATCTGCTACTGCAACGAACCATTTCAGGAGCATTGGTGTTGGATGGTTGATGGCTTCAACAATTGCTTCATTGTCTGGCATGCAGCCGGAATTTCTTTAGAGGACCGTACAAATGAGGGGGGTCTTCTGCCATCGTCATTGAGCGAGGATGAGCGCCCAGCGTGCCTTGTCCACTTGGACACTTCAACAAGGGTTGCGCGAGCCTTGACAATGGATGCAGCTGCATAGGCACGAGACTATGCTGTTGGAGAGCAGGTGTTTGCAGTGCTGCGCAGGGCAAATGAGGCTGAGTCATTGGCCTATGTTGAACAATATTCCTGCTTTGCCAGAGGTGGTCGTCGCAGGACCGCAGCAGCAGAAGTATGTGAGAATTGATGAAGGATCTGCGTCATCAGCGCACGGAAAGAAACGAGAAGAAGATGACCTGCAGCAGTCTGAGTTTGCGGACAAACATAAGACGGGGAAGCCCATTCGATGAGCGCCGCAACACCTCAAGCATTGGAGAGTGATGTTATGTTGGCTCAACTTTTCAGACCGAAGGCCATTGGCGTGTAAACGACCAAGTGGCCACTTGTGTGCATAATGTGCCAAAGTACCGTGGCTTCAGTCGGAGGTACCACATGGATTCAGCGCCGAGTTGTGCTGTGTACGCCGCACGGAACAATGCTGGACTAGGTAATAAAAATATTGAGCCTCGACCGTAGACAGGTTTTCCCATCTTCAGCCATGGCGTCGTTGAGCATCGTGGAAGAGACTGCAGCTTTCATGGAGCAGCGCCCGCAAGAGCAGCAAGAACGCATTGGCAAGGCTGAGAAAAAGCTGGACATTCATGAAACGCTGGAGGCAAGGAAGAAGGAACGGGACAAGTGCAAAATTTTAACGCAGTGGTGCCAGTTCCGGTGGACATGCGAAAGCGTTTGGTGGCTGAAGGCCACAAGGTTGTTCCAAGCAAGTGGGCGGATACAATCAAGAACATCCACAAGGCAGGCGAGCCAGACTACTAACCAACCTTCAAGGGGAGGTTGGTAGCCTGTGAAGCAGTAGACTAAGGCGAGATCAGATGTGACTCGCCAACCAGCGAGCCTCTGTGAAAAGGAGTTCTTCTTTGCTTTCCTGGCGGAGGCTGAGGCTTAACTTGTTGTTGTTTTTACCATTGCCACTGTCGTTTAATCGTTTTGTTGCCCAGGTCCGGCGGCTCCAGATGGACGTTTGCGGAAGTGACAAATGAATGTGCTCAGTTGGGCAGCAACAAAACTTCCAAATGTCAAAGCATTATGGTATGGTAAGGGTGGCTCTAGATGGAGGCGCTGGATACAGAGGTCTTGCAGGACACTCCAGATGAGAGGCTTACTGTAGTAGGCCAAAGGGACTCGCGTGCCATCACCAGGCCGGTGGATTTGCTGGCCAAGCCAACAGAGACCTCAGGGCTAGAAGCACCTGAAGCCCCTGACGCGTCACGGCCAGAGGGCTTGGGGTCCCGGACCCACGTGGCCTTGCCCTCAACGAAGAGGAGGTGCCAGGTCTCCTTGCCCGAGTCCATGGAGGCCGAGGGGAGCACTGTAGGGGACCAGCTTGTCATGGCGGCAGGTCCAGCATTTGTTGGCCCTGTCAGGGGCCCCCGTGTAGCACTTGGCGCACATGCGAGAGTAAGGCTGCTCGCCAACAGGCCCGTCTCGGAGGGATGAGAAGCCCAACCCGCTCTTGTCGTGCAGGGGTTGAAACTGGGTCTTCCAAATCTCCTGTTGGCGGGCCTGGAGTTTCATGGGGATGTCGGCCTCGATCACCCGGGTGACCCCGGGTTCTGTGAGGGGAACGTCCACCCACAACGAAAAGAGATCCAGCATCTCCGACTCCGTGGTGCCCTGAAGCAAGGCAGGAAAATGCCCAGGCACCGAGGGGAAGAGTCCGGGAACATCACGAACTTCACCCGGTTGGGGTCCGCCTTGTCAATCCGGAAGCGGATGGCGTCCATCTGCACCTTCTGGGCCTTAGCCGCAAGGAACCCTGGTAGTGAGGGGTATGCCGCCTGGTCCTTAGTTGGAAATGCCGCCTGGTCCTTAGTTCCGGTCATGGGAACGTCTGCCTCCCCGTCGGCGCTAGAAGCGGCCGCAGGGGCGGCATCCGTGGTCATCGGGCTAGGGGCTCCGGCAACGGCATCGGCAGCATCTGGAGATCCCAGGCCCAAGCGCTCGAGCACCGGCGCGGTCGCAGAGGAAACCGGGGAGAGCTGGTCCACCGCCTCACGGGCCAGCTGCAGGCGCTCCACACAAGCGGCCAAATCAGCCATCTGCTTGCGTTCTTCTTCTTCAATGCCTCCAGGGTGAGCCTGGTCCACCGGCAAAAGTTGCTGGGTGGCCCCAAGCTCCAGCGTCCGGAGATCGTCGGAGTGAAGCTGAATGGCAGCTTCCTCGTCACAGAAATCCCAGTCCGGCTCGGACCCATGGGGAGAAGTCGGCTCCATGGCAGAATCAGCCACCGCTGCCAAAGATGTAATCGGGGTTTGCGAAGTCGCCATGAGTTCCACCAAAGGGAAAATGCGAAGCGTAAAGCGGGCAAAAAAGTGAGTTCTTCTCTCTCTTTGTTGCTGACTGGAGTGCCAGTCAGGCTTGAGCCAAAATGTCCGGTGGACATTTTGGTTCAACATTCCATACATATTTCTTGCAACCGCAAGCTCAATGCAAGTGTCAAACATGTTCTACGTATATACATATGTTTGCTAAATAAGTATATATATATATATGTATCTGTAAAGAGGACTGACATTTCAGTTGAAAAATAACCAATCAGTTACCTGTCAATGCAACACCCCTTTTTTTAACGCAGTAATAGCGATGGCCTCCAACCTGAGAGCGATGGCCTCCAACCCAAGAGCGATGGCCTCCAACAGAAGAGTGATGGCCTCCAACCTAAGAGTGATGGCCTCCATCCTAGGAATGATGGCCTCCAACCTAATAGCGATGGCCTCCCACCTGAGAGCGATTGCCTCCAACCTACTAGCGATGGCCTCCAACCTAAGAGTGATGGCCTCCAACCTCCAACCCAATAGCGATGGCCTCCCACCTGAGAGCGATGGCCTCCAACCTAGGAGCAATGGCAATGGCCTCCAACCTAATAAGAGCGATGGCCTCCAACCTAATAGCGATGGCCTCCCACCTGAGAGCGATGGCCTCCAACCAAATAGCAATGGCCTCCAACCTGAGAGCGATGGCCTTCAACCTAAGAGCAATGGCCTCCAACCCAATAGCGATGGCCTCCAACCTAAGAGCAATGGCCTCCAACCTAAGAGGAATGGCCTCCATCACATGATGTTTGGTGATAGCTTGGTAGATCCGGCTTCATTGCATGAAGAGTACTCCGGACACTCCAGATACTCCAGTCACGACACAGTTTAGACGCTGTATCCTGCAGGTGTTCGGCGGGTTCGGTTGGATGGTGTCGCTGTCTTTTTTTTCGGGGTGGCCATGCATCAAAGGATTGGTGTGCAAATTCCACTTCTCACCCTCTCTTCGGTTCCGAAAACAAAACAAAACGCCGAGAAAACCAACAGAGTTCCAGGCTTCGGATGTTTTGGGCCCAGGCTTCGGAAGAGTTCCAGGCTTCGGAAAAATAAGACCCCAGCACCAGAAAGAACACAGGCGAACAGGGTGGTTCATTGAATGATGCAACTACAACCAGACATAAAGATCTGTGGACACTGTAGGCTTGTTTCGCTTTTGGACCAGGTGGCAAATCCCCTGAAGAATAACACTATATATATTATTATCAAAGTACTTCCTCTGACTACACGTCTGCCTGGCCAAAACTGCAAAGCTGTCTCGGGAGCCCCGACGATCAAGTCGGACCTGCAGGCTGGCGGCCAGCGTGCCGTCGTAATTATGTCCGGTAGGGACGACCCTGACATTCCTGAGATTAGCTACGTTCAGGGCCGCTGCAGGGAAGATGGTGGCCTCCACATCCAACCTACTAACGGTACGATGGCCTCCACGTTGCTGAATCGACATGGAAAGAAGGACCAGGGACCCCTTGAACCGGGACCCCGTGGAGCCCCGTCGAGTCGATGATGCTTCGCCCATCTGGACCAAGCTTTTGAGATGGTCGAGTCGCACCGAGCTTTTAAGATTGAGATGTTTGGGGGTTGGTTGCACCAGGCTTCGCGACATGAGAAGGATTCGACTCTTCACGCTTCAACGGATTGAAATCGAACGGCCCCACTCGATGTGTCCCCCTTGTCTCCCTCTCAGCTTTTTGCGCTCATGTAGCCCAGAGCCGATGTCCCATGAAACAGATTCACGGCATGGAGGCCACCCCTTGAGACCAGAAAGACTGTTGTTTCACACCGCCAGTCACGACGATTCCCATGAGAGTCCAAGTGAGGATCTCAAGACTGCTCAGAAAAGGAGCTTTCTCACAAGTGATTTATCACGGGTTCAACGATGCCTGGAAAGGAGCTGCGTAACTGAGGCTCCCTGCAAACAACTTGCTGGCTACTCTTGGCCATGGCCACTAAAATGATCTGCCATCAATGCTAACTTTTGAGATCTTTTGAGAACGAGAGGATGTCCTAGCGCAACAAATCTTATGGTCTACAGATGTCTACGTGTGAGGTCTAGACGATTGACCCTGCTGCGTGCCCTAATCGCAGCGGGTTTACCTTTCAGCAGACCTAAGCAAGTGGCTATTTTTTCTGAAAAGTTGATCGACCAGGCATCTATGACTTTCCGGATCTTTCCGGGCTCAATGTTCGAGAGGCTTGATCTTGTGGACATCCATGACTAGAAGGCCCTCAGGAAAAACAAAGAAGAAGTACGGCTGCGGCATAAATGCGTGAAAGCAAGAAACAAGAAGCACAACTAGACCAGCCAGGGAGTCTGTCTCAAGCCTTTTGACTTTAGGACATGGGTCGATTATGGGTAGAACGGCCAAAGAAACTGAAAAAAAAAAAAACCTACGCCTCACAGCTTGATCGTACTTGACATGCACCTCATACTGGCGGAAACCTAAGCGCACCAAACGCAATACAATCCAGGAATCCACTCCAGCCGTTTTCTCGGCTTGTACACTGCAAGAGTCTCCACGTCTAGCAGAGTCCATGCTGCTTGGGCAGTCTCTTTCGGAGGTACGCACAGGTGCAGATAGAAGAAACGAAGTGAAGCACTCCTCTTCCTGTCAACTGGGGAAATTTCACAACATCAAACTGGCCAGCAAACTCAGCAAAGAAACTTGGAGCTTCATCTCGTTGCTGACTCGCTGCTCCTCAAGTCCAGAAAATTGGGTCTCGGGTCCTCTCCATCAAACTTCATCCTGAGTGGTTTCCACTCCGCTGCCACCATCCGCTCATTTCTGACTCCAATCCAAGCAGTCGCACAACCCCTTGAGGGCACACGCCATCAAATCGGCGAGCCACGCTGCCATCCAAGCGGAAAACGCGATCTCGCAGCCTTTGTGCGGCGCGGCGACATGCGCCGTGTCTGGGGGAAAATCGACTTTGGGGGTTTGAGTCAGGTGAACGACCAGAAATCAAAGCCCCAGGGCTCTACTATAATCATTTGGCTTCAACAATGCTCTGGGACTGCTTGATCATTAAAAAAGCGAGAATACATCGTCCTCAAGGGAATGGGCTAAGAAAGAACGACCTTAGTCTAAGATCATCTGCATAGTTCCAGGATGCAAAACACCTTCATCTACCCTCTGTGCTATTGCTTAAGAACAGGAAGCAACCCGTAGCCTGTTGCTGGCATTACGCAAAAACAATGCTCATTTGATGGTGACAGGGCCAACGCCAGGAAATGCGATTTCAGTGGTCCCTGTTTTGGGGCCAGGAATCACTGCTTTCCTGACTCTTGGAGATCCACATCAAACCCGAAATCGTGTTGTTTCGCTCGGCATCGCCGAGCCGACCTGAAAGATTCGGTTCCAGGCGATAAGACATACATCTGGGCAAGTTGTAGAACTTCCGCAATCAAAAGAATCAGAATGAGACTTGAATGTGTGGCAAAGTTATGAGCATGTGTAAACAATTGGTGCCTGGTGTGTGTTGATTGGAACGTTCAATGAGTTTATATAGTTAGTCGGTAGTTTTTGTTGGTTTGAATGCGCTCTCACACACAGATGAAATGGCCTATAATGTGGGGTTTGCACAAAAAGGAAGAACTGTCCCTGACTTTTCTGGCTGGCATATTGATGCTTTGGCTCTTTGTGAATTGTGGCGTGGCAGTCCAACATGAATCCACTAGGTAACGCTATTTAACTTGCCCAGGCATCACAGCACGCCAGGCGAGAATCTTGCCAGTCGATGTGTAAAGCACCTCACTCATCTGGAGGAAACACCCCTCAGAAGATGGTCTTGCCAAAGGCCGGTGGACTATGACCAAGTCTGATTTTGTGAGACTTGAGAGGCTTAAGTGTTTAAGGAGAACTTCATATTCATACAAATGTTCAACAAAACAATCAAAGAGTTGAAAGAGTTTGAAACACTATATAACATGATCTACCAAACAACATTAGTTATGCCATGCTCAAACTGAGTCACAAGGCCCTGCCAATGGCTTGGCAGCTGCGCTGCTGCACTTAGCTGCTTAGCTCATCTCAGACAAGGTACCCATGGATGGCGCCCTGCAAAGGAAAATTTCATTGACCCGTCCCAATCTGCATATGCCCTGGATGCATATCGCCCCTCAAAACATCTCCAAACTCTTGGCTCAGTCTTCCCGACGGGTTTTTATGGGGAGGTCGCCTCGACCTCAGAGAGTCTCGTTGGGATTGCTTCGCCAAGAGTCCTGATGGTTTCCGTGGTTCGCTCACACATGGTGCAGTTGTATAGAATTCCCATACAAGCAATGTACAGAAGGGGCTGCCCTGCGGGAAGCAGCACGCAGGCTTGGCGCTGTTCGACAGACTGCCAAGGTCTCCCTGACCGCCTGCTTTAAGATTATTTTGCGCCTGGAGTTTCAACCGAGGTTCCATTTTGGCTGCAGACTTAAAGACTCTATATTGAGCAGTGGCGAAGCCACGGAACTTGTGAACTTTTGGGCCACAAATTAAACCTCTGCAACAAAAAAACAAACAGTTGAGTCCATCTTTCGCCTTCCCTGCCAATTCTTGCATCTGGCCTGCTCATTCGCCGCTGAGAGCTCGAAGGCTTGCTCTCCTTCGAGCTTTTGCTCTGTTGCGAGCCTGGCTTGCTCCTGGGTTCCACAGGGCGGGAACCACACGATCCCCACACCTGGCTGTGCTGTGAGCGATAGGTGGTGGGTGTCGGTGAGTGTGGTGGATACTCCTTGTTGCGACCCCCAAATGATCCTGGGAACCCACATGTTCCCAGCATCGCACGGCACGTTTTACTTGCTTCATGCCATGTTTGGCCCCCCTTTCCTTTGCGGACCAAGTGGCAATGCCGTTTTGCTCTGCCCTGAGGCTGGTCGGTTCTTCTTTCCCTTGCCTTAGCCAGGTGGGCTGAACATCACAGTGTCAGGTTCAGCATGGGTGTCACACAAACCTGGGCACTCCAACAAGTGCACAGGGGGGGAGTGCCCAGCACACGGATGTATCGTGCAACAAACCCTCTTAAAGGATGATGAAGGATGTTGAAGGGTCCGGTCCAATGTGAACGGATTCGGTCCAATTAGGGCATGGCAGGTGGATCCGGTGCTCGGTTGAGAATGCTATTCTCTAATCACACAATCACAATCTAGTGCATGAATATGTGTATATATAATGCAAGATGTGATTTGGCTCCAAGCCCTGGAAATCCATGTGTCGTGTTTCAATCTCTGGGAAGGCTTTCCATGCTCAAATCTGGAGAGAAGAGCCACGGCACTCTTGGCGGGTTAGTTCAAGTCAAGCATTCGCCCCTCTTCACCCTGTTCATGGCACGTCGAATGGTTAACTAGCCAACCCAAGAAAGTTAGCAACTGCACAAAGGAGCTTCTCGAATACTTGCTCATCGTCGAAGTCACAAAAACTTGTCACCAGCTATATAACTCCAACCTCCTCCTCAACCTCGGTTCCCTTGTCACAGCCCAGGCGATGATTCAGACATTGAGTATATGACCACGCAAGTTGATTGACTATGGTTCCTGTTTCCTGCTATAGGGCGCTCAGGAAGGACCAACGCAGCGACATGGGAGCCTAGGTCAAAAGTCATTCCCAAAAAAATACTCCTGTGGCAGGGGAGATTTGGATATCAGAGGTTACGACCTTCAGCTAACCTACCCACTCAGAAAGCAAATCAATCACAATTCGAGCTAGCTGACGGCAACGTTTCGTTATGTATACAATATGTAATACAGTATGTGTTAATATCAAACCCCTACAACCCACATGGAGAAAATCTTGTGCTTCCACACCCAGAAAGAGCTTCCTACTGAAACACACACCAAAGAACAACACACCACACAGTGAGTTCTACAGCATCCCATTGGGCTCCCTGGCCAGCTTTCATCTGAGCCTCCTTGAGTTGTCGCTCTTCCTCGCGCCGTGCCTGGTGTCCAACACGATTTTTGGGCACGACTTTGAGAGGTGGGTTTCTATATGTGGGATGTGAGTTGGAGGGCTTGGAGAAAACATGAGATTGAGGTCTTTGGTCTTTGGAACTGCGGATAAGTAGCCGACGATGTGAGTCAGAACCCATTTATTCAAACAAAAACCAAAGCGATGGTCGGTGAACCTCCCCGGCCAGAATTGCCCCTGAAGGTCTAGGACGGTCTCACAAGTAGGGAGACACCCAAACCATTTGCAGCATCACCACCTGCGTTCTCTTCACGTCCTTGAGAACCTTACAGCAAAGAAGTCCATGTCACCTGCACCTGAGGGAATATCCATGTTATCCATCAAGCCCTCGTGGATCTGGATGAAAAAGCTCATTTCACGCTGATGAAGCTTGCAACACTAAGAACCAAGTCATCTGGAAAGAGTGGAAAGGGTGAAGAACGGGACCGAGAAGAAAATCATATGAATGATATGTAATTATATGCCCTCAGTGTTGATTCTCAAACAAATGGAGTTTTCAGTGGCAAATGTGTTTCAAGAGTCATCTACTAATTCATTGCAATCCCACACCAGCATTGCCCAGATCCCCACATGGCACCTCCAGTTGTTCCTCTAGTTCCACCAGCTGGTAGGAGGGCACAGAGTTGCAGCTCAGCTTGAGCCTCAGCCTTGCCCAGGGCAAAAACACTCCGTGCGTTTGAAACCCTCGTCCGATTTCTCATCCGAAACCTTCAACCGTGACACTGGTGTGTTTGTCGAGCAAAGGAGTGGAACACATCCTTTTTTGCAGAACTTGCTCCTCGTGGCCGTGTTGCTTGTATATTCCTGACCATTTTTTGGCGACTTCCATGTGCGTACATCTAGGAGTATACCTGTGCAACTTAGCCACTATACTCACTTGAGTGCGAGCGCTTCCGTCCATGTGTAGCAGCATCCTAGTAGCTAGGAGCAAACAAGTTTGTCCTTTACTTAACTAAGCAGGCGCCTACTCAATGAAGTAACGAGGCCACGGGCAAAAAAACAAAAAGGCTATGACTCAAGGAGTTGAAGAAAGGAACAGAACCCATGTATGGCCTCTTATATGGAAGAAATCCTGCATCACCTGATACCTTTTATTCAATCTGATTGGTTTGGTATCCAACTGTGGGAGTTCTTGCAATGGAAGAACCCACACACCCATCCAGGTGCCCCATGCTTTCACGTTTGCAGAGGCTACCTCTCCCCCAGGGTCCCTCAAACACGCCAGCGGCCTCCTCCCGCAGTTGGCGTAGAGCATCTCCGCGCCCAGCCGACAAATGGCATTGTCCTCGAAGGGGGGGGAGCTTGGGTGAGAAAAAAACGGATCCTGTGGGGATCCGTGAAAGGGCACCAAGAAATCCATTCTCAAGCCGGATCTGGCCAAATCGGGGAATCAAGTGCCTACCGTACACCTGATGAAATAAAGAAAGTTCGTTGATTTCTCGTGGTGGGTGTGGACCTCCATGCTGTTTGTGGGCCCAACAGGGAGGTTTGGATGGTTTGAGGGTGCAACATGGTGCAACTATTGCAGCCTACAGCTGTTCAACAATGCATACTGTGCAACAAGGGAGTTGCTCCAGGGTCGCGTCTTCTTGGACTGAAAGGCACCTCGAATGCCTTTTGGGTCATGGAATGCCTTCACAGCTCCTGCAAGTCCAAAATCTGCATGCCGTGTTCCTGCGCGATGGATCAGTCGCCCCCACCGGAAAGGCTTCGAGGGACTGGCAGCGTTCACTCTTACAAGTCCCTCCTGCTTGAAGAAATCTACTAGACCTATGGCATGGACGGCATCGGATGAAAAATATATTTAATATGATGATTTAATATAGAATGGCAAAATATCACATGACCGAAAAGACATACTGGAAGCGCTGTCTAAGCAACAGTTCTTTGATGTTACTTGAGGACTGCTGTAAATATCATATATACTAGTTTGAAACTGGATAGCAAGACGTCATGAAGGTCTCTGACTTTGCGCTCCAAAGATGGAACAAAGAATGCCGTGTTGGAAAAGTTGGGGCTGTAAGGCCATCCAAGAACGACCGAAGTGAAGATGATTCCCTGATCTTGACACGAAGACCTTACCAAAACATGTGCGTTCAACATGTTCAGGGACCCCTTCGGCTACATGTTGTAGCCAAATTCCTTGTAGCCAAAGCCCCAAAACGACGAGCATCACGCCCGGATCATTCCAGAAAAAAACCCTCGGAAAACGAGCATCCCACGTGCGAGTTGTGGAACAATTCAGGGTCGCGCTTTCGAGGAAAGGAATTGCCCGAAAACCATGCTGTCCACTTTCATGTTGGATGCACATGTGAATCATGGACAACTCTATGATTCTAAGAACCTATTGGGGATGATCATGGTTAGCCCCCCGAAAGCCCTCTACCAGCTATATAAAGGAACTAGGAGGGCTTCTCCGCACACAGATGTTGTCAAGTCCTTTCGGGTCGAACAATAGAGCGAATTTCAATCCCCAGCTGCCCACTCACACCTTGAGGCTGCGGGACAAGGTCTGTGCACCCATGTCCCCAATCCGGTTGTACCTCACCAAGCAGCGACAAGTCGATACTTCAGGGGAGGAGGAGTTCCCGAAACAGCCTGGGCATTCTGCTTCTATGATCATGCATTCATTCATTCACGAGGCAAACTGTGCTGCAAACGAACGCTGCGATGTATGCACAGGCCAGACATAGCCACAGAATGCAAGGATGTTGAGTGTGAACTGAGCACAAAAAAAGGTCTGGCATCTAGTACACAGTTCAACACAACTTCTGCTTCATGACAGGACATGTCTGAACCAAAAGGTTGTACTGTAGTTCTGTCAGTTGTTCATCTCAGTCTTGCAATCAATCTGGAGGCCTCAAATCCAAGTGCTGCAGCTTCAAATTGCTTTGCACAATCTTCACCTTGGGGCAACAGTTTTGGACATCCACCTTGGGAGACATACAGAGCCAAATAACGTGTTCGATGAGCGTGCGGGAATGTACTACGTAGGTCTTAGGCGGCGTGTCTTGGTACAGTAGCAGTGGTTGCATCTGGTAGTTCAAGTTGTCATCTGCGAAAGGGGGAGTTGCTTAGCGAAGAAAGGCGGGTATGGCAAATGATGTAGTTATGCAAGCGAAGAAACCAAAAATGCACTGGTGCTCTATTAAAAACATTCCGATCTAGTGATGGACTATGACTATGGTGCTCTGGCGCCTCCTCTCGGTCTCTTTTTGCCTTTGCGGTCGCCGGTCGCAGGCTGATGATGGGCTGCGTCTACGGGCCGAACCGCCTCAACTCAGAGATCGCCGCGGACAGGTGCACCCTGAATGAGTTCGACAAGTTCTTTCAATCAGAATAAATGGATCTTAAAGAGAGTCGTGGATTGTTTGGAACCAGTACAACGATTGGGACGTTTTGGTGAGTCCTGCATGTTCACTCACTGATTTTGCTTCATGGTGACTGTTGAACTTCCCTCGCCATGTACCTCTCCCTCAACAACTGCGATGCGTTCACCGCACCGATGACTGGTCAGCACCGTCAGCACGAGACCCGTCAGCTCTCAGGGTTCAGCACCCAAGTTGCGAATCCTGGGCACCGTCGGCACCGTGCGAAATGGTACAACCGAGCGGGGACGAAATGGGAAGGGCTCCCAAGTGCTGCAAGGGCTCCAAGTGCTTTGCTGCTCCAAAAGCGACGTCACTTGGGTGACATCCAAAAGATCAGGGAGGGGCTTTAGACTGTTTTGCTTCATTGTTGGTTGACTGTCATGTATCCAGTTTTTGAGCTATTGGCTATTGGCAATTGGTGTTTCAAGACCAGAATCATGCTGGTGACGGAAATTGGTCTCCACATTTCATCACAATTCCACAAGTCAACCAGAATATACCTGAAGCATCTATTTTACTCCAAGCTGAGCATCGTCTGCGTACATGATTGCCCCATCAAGAGAATGAGCCTATGGCTTTGATTGCGGATGGGGTTACAGCCCATTTGGGCTGATGAAAAATACACCCAGCCCCTGTCCGAACGTCGTATCACCCAAAATACGTCGCCCCGATTCTGGAGGATTCCACCGCTTGAGCCACCTCATAGATATCTTCAATCAGAAAACACCGTGGAATCTAGTTAGGGACCAATCAGGCCAAGAAAAAGGCAATCAGTAGAAGCCTGCTACTCTTGAGTCCGTCAGAGACTGTTGACTTCAGTGGTGAGTTTCGTTGGTTTCGTCCTCCTCCCCCTTAGCCCAAGCCATTTGATCCTCACGGTGTAGGAACTCCTGCACCACCTGAGGATTTGCAAGATCAAGAGGGCACAATCCATCCTTCCTATCCCCCCTATCCTTACCTCCACGCCTCACGGGCGACCGCCCAACCAATCCGAGTTGCTGCTGGAGGATCTCTGCTTCGCCGTCCAGCTTCTGCTTTTGCAGGGGATCCAGGGAGCCTCCCGCGGACGCCTGGCCGAGCGAGCGGCCGCTAGGACGGCCGTAGGACAGCCCCAGCGATTGAAGAGACTTTAGGATGAAGTCCAGTCACTCAGACTAGGCGGATCGTTCACATCCAGGTCCCGAATTTCTTCAAAACGAGATAGCGTTGCCAATGCTTGGCTCGCCCAGGCTTTGCTCTGGAAAAGACTCTTGACTCTTTCAAGGCCCTATCGCCAATGACAGAAAAACAACTATCTTTCTCCGGGTTGTCCTCAGTCCTCAGGACTAGGTCGGATCTGGTTCTTGCAACGACTGCTGATGCTGGAGCATCGATTGGAATAGGTCACGGTGCTAGCGTTTCATTGCATTGGGCGGTGTCCAAGGAGGACTGAAGAGCTTTAGCAAAGCTCGCAGGTTCCCAGCAGATGCAGGGAGAAGGTCCACAGCCTTGTTTGGCTGATTAGAGACTGCGAATCCTTTCAGAGTTTGATAAGAAGAGACTGCGCTTGGTCGGTCGTGTGTCTCAAGGACACTTCAAGAATCCCATTGAAAGGCCCACCCGACAGCCTCTAGACCTGTAGAAAGGAAAGTACAGCAGAGTCCCTGAGGAAAGTAGCAGGAAGGCCGCTGGAAGAGCATTTTCCTCAAAAGGAATTCCTTGTCAGAATTCCCTGGCGATGCCCTTCCATGTTTTGTTGGATGGAGGGTTGATGTTTCACCGTGCTTTGCATTCTCAGTCACCATTGAAGCAAATCACCAGCAAATCCCCTCAGTCATCTTCAGTCCACGAACGCCCGCGCGAACGCCAGCAACCAAGGTCTGAGTCCCTGGACCTTCTCCTTCAACTTCTCGATATCCCGCAATTTCTTCCTGCACAATGGCGTCCCCCCCCCGCGGCGTTTCACGCTTGTTTGGCAGAAGAAGGATGGACGTGCACACCGGAGGAGATGGAGGGCCTAGACCAGATATGGCACCAACATGCACAAACCGCTTTCTGTTTTTATCTTCATGTTTCCGCAACCTCTCTACCACCTCCTTGCCACAGGATGCAAGTCCCACAAACCTCAGAGGCTGCCTTTTTTTCAGGCTTCAAGGTTTCATGCCTAACCCGGCCAACCCTCTCCAGCCACCCCGGCATGTCACGAAGCCACAAACTCTTCCAGACACAACCCGGCCGATCCCTGACTTTCTCACAGGATGTAGGCCTGAGAGCGCGGATCTTCTTCTCCACTTCATCGCCCTCACCTAACCAAACGGTCCCGGAAACTGCGATCCAAACATTCACTGGTCGCTCCACATCTGCGAAATACAGATAGCGAGTTCGAGTTTGCCTCTAACAAGCTGCTTTTTTCATTGAAACAAACAATGAAGCAAATGAACCACGGCCAGGGTGCGTGCAAGCAAAAAAACGTCCAATTGCGTCGTTCTATGTCGTCTCTTCTCGCTTGCAGGTCCCCCTTTTCTACCCAAAAGAAGTAGATGGGTGATATAGACTCAGCAAACATCTCCGTGTAGGAATTAGAAGGAACATGACAAGATGGAATAAAGTTAGATACATATATATATATAATATTGTCATATAGACAAGATAGATAACAGGGACGAAGCAATGAACTCATCTTTTCCTGCTATGGCAGCCAAATGACATATTATTTGCATACATGGAGCGATGACATGAAACAATCCAATGGGAATCGTTTGGACAATCAGAAGCCCTCCACTCTCAAGTCTCTGCAAATGCACGGATCTGGCGAATAGCCATGCCCATCTTTATTGCCTGCCGCAGGCTTTTCCTCCGGCTTCTCGGCGGGCTTTTCGGCCTCGCCTGACCAAGCTGATTTGGGTTGTCTCGTGTCGAGCCTTTGGGGACAATGTTTCTTCTACAAGACATTGCTTTCTAGGGTCCATCCTCATGTTGAGGTGTCTATGTTGCTGGTTTGTTCAAAGTGCATGTTATTTGGGGCCAGGATTAGAGGACAATCGACTAATTTACAGTTCTTCAAACCCCTTAACTACTGTGTGTTTGACTAACACCTCCGTGTCACTAAGCCCAGACTCCTCTTGTTGCCTCGTCCAAACCCACCAACACCGTGCTCGCACGGCACGAGCCACCCGATCCTCGTTGGGGCGGACTGAACTTGGCCGGCTTGGCCGGCTCCGCCTGCCGCGATCGGGACATGCGGCCAGGGAGTCGGTGGCGACATGAACTAATTGAGGTTGTACGGATGGAGATTGATGAAGTAATGATTTATTTCTCAGGTCTGTGTGAAGAGATGAGACGAGACATCTCGCCTGAGGCGCTTCCTCCTTGGCCTCTGCCTTGGCCTCACGGAGCACCCACAAGCAGACTGAACACGGATGTTTTAAATGGTTGAAAGTGAACATGTCAAAAGGCTTCAAAAGGCTTTATGTTTCCTGGAGGAAAAACTGGTCATGGTCTTTGGAATGCTACAAAAACATACAAAAACCTCTTCTGTGCGTCTCGCACCACACACACACACACACGACTACACAGTGGGCAATGGAATGAAGTGCTTTCGAATGTTGGTGGAGCATCCAAGGCTCAGCTTGCTTATGGCCGTGTTAGGGTCTCTGTGCTCAGCACATGTTGCCGGGCTAAGGCAGAAGAAGAGATGACTCATTGATCTGACAACCAAGGCCGAATTCATGGGCCATGCTCCGAAAAACTCATGGGCCCTTTTCTACTAAAATCATGGCAGGATAGAGTGTGTATGATGGACCTTTTTACTTTCAGAACCGAGAGAAAGAGAGAAAGAGAGGGAGAGAGAGAGAGAGAGGAGCGAGAGAGTGAGCGCGCGCACAAGCGACGCAAGCCTTGGGATGATGCTTCAAAGGATCCAGAATACCTAGAACAGTGCCAACCTTATAGCAACGATACTGCACTGATGCGCATAGATGTTCCCATACTGTAGAAACATGAACACAAAAGAAATCAGGGAGGAATGGTGGTAGATCAGATGCGGGGCCAAGGTCGTGACGCAGATCGGCCAAGGTCGTTCCCAAAGTTAAACAACCCAGTTGGTCGGAGAAGCGAAAACGAAGCAGAACCGAGTCCCCCAATCCACCAATCGGTGCCAGGCAGGTTGACCGACCCCCCAACAAAACCTGGTGCCAGACAGGGTGGCGAAGCTCTGCGAAGCTTGTCGTATCTTGGGGTGCAACGACGCCTACGATGAGAGCTATGTATGGAGCAATTCACTGACAGTCATCCTTCCTGGGCTGAATTGCTTGCAAGTTCGGAGGGTATGGCTGTCCTTCACCTTGAGCATCTTGCATCACTGTGGGCGACATTCGTTTCATCAACTGCCCATTCCTTTCATCAAAACCTGGGAGCGGATATGAGTGGAATTGAGTGGATGATGCGAACGATCTCGGAGTCTCATGGAGTCTCAGGAAGTCTCAGAGGCCTTCTTCTTCCGAGCATTCCGGGAAGAAGTGCTAGGATTGGAGGCCTGGCAGGGCAAGTCGTGGCTATTTCTTTGCGTAATACCCCATTGATCCCAATTGTTCTCATCGTTTGTATCCTGGACCTTTGTCCAATGGATCGAAGACACATATCTGATCCTTCGCAGCCGGTCAGCAGCTGGCAATTCATAAATGTTCGATCATGTTCGTATATCTTCATACATTCAGGTAGATAGGTCCCACCAAGTAGTTAACTCATTAACTTGATGTATATACAACTTTTATATAACTCATTCAGGTGGGACCCATCCCCATCTCACAAGACCCACTGCTTGGAGTAGCCTGCTTCACGAAGTCGGCCGCCGATGCACCGGGCGGCAGGTGGATGGGTACCGGCGCAGGCCCGCCCACCTGCGCGGGGCCCTAGCTACATCCAAAAATAGCCCCTCAGAACTCTTGGCTCAAATCCCAAGGACGGTTTCTTGAAAAAGAAAACATAAATACACCGCCTGTTCTTAGATTTGAGCCAAGAGTCTTCGGAGGAGGGTAGCTTAGTTCCTTGCAGCCTGGTCATGTGGCGCCACAGCGCGCGCCTTGGTCGCGGTGGTCGCCCCATCCGCCGCTGTAGAGCCCAGCTCCTGTGGTCGCTGGTGTTCCAGCAAGGTGGGGGAAGAGATGGTCTGACCCACCTAGATCCTGGGGAGTCGGTGCAAGGTCAAGGTTCGTTCCATTTCAGATGTTCACTCGGCTCCATCCTCGCGGCTCCGGGCTCCGCGCCTTTCGAAGCTGTTCGGCCAAAGCACCTCCCCGGGCTCCGGGAGGCCTTTCCCACGCGGTCTCCGCAAGCACCGCGGGTAAAAGTGGACAGCACATCAATACGAGGAGCAAGGACGCTACTAGGGGCTCCTGGCCTTACTACTAGGAGCAAGAAGCTACTAGGAGCAAAGGACATCGCTACTAGGAGCAAGGACGCTACTAGGGTCAATGTTTGGTTTGGTGACATGTTTGGTGAATGGGACAGAGTATGGAGTCGATTTCTCCATGTTTGGTCGTCCTGATTGACGATCTGTCATAATCTGTCCAGGACGTTTTTTCAAGGGATAAACAGATGTCCCTAGAATTCCTACACAAGCACGAGTTTTGGCTCATGTGAACTATATATACTCTCATCACAACTCTGCCCAGTTAAGAGAGCCATCAACTCCTCGGATCATAACGGATCCCACGCGTATCGCGGGAAAACGGGGGAACACATGAAAACATGGTGAATGGGGTGGCCTTTCAAGTCTGCCTTTGCAGGGGGTCTCTATGACTCGGAGTCACCTATCTTTCCATATTAGCAAGTTTGAAAGGTGGCTGTTAATCACAGAATGGGTGGCAGGATCGAAATGGATTATATAGAACCTAAAGCAAACTCTGTCATGCAAACATTCTATGCAGTGAGCCCATAAGTGTTGGGGAAGTTATGATCCATGATCGCTCATCCCAACGAGGCCAATATTCTCCAAGGATGAAAACGCTTGGTAAAATGTCCTAATGTTTGAGAACCAATGGTTTTCAACGGCACCCTCACCAAGAAAGAAAATGACAAATCCACAAAGCAGCAGAAAGCAGCTTACACCTGGCCTAAAGGGAACACGTGTGGTGTTCTTCAAACCTTTTGGAAACCAAAGAACGCCTCAACGGATGTGCTGCTAGTCCAAACGGTTGATATGGCAAATCCACACATTAAATCCAGTGAGCATTAATAGATTATACAATAGGAAGTAGCCACGCATTGTATATCAGCGCCGAGTGCCAAAATGAACAAAATGATCGTTCCCCCTTGAGGAAAACTTCTGCGAGTTTCCAGGAGATTCGTCAAACGCATAAGCCTCTGCAGAACCCACTTGTGATGTTTGGGGATCTACTGAAAAAGCAAGATCCATTGACCATGCATCCAACACTTCTGGGACACCATCCATAGCACCCGGGCGGATAGACACTTGCCTGTAGGCCGTGGCCTTTGGCTTTGCCGCAGCCTGGCCGTTGGCTGTGCAACTCACACGCGAAAGCACGAGGCAACCATACGAGACCCACATCCACCGGGGCGCAATGCGTGGTTCTTTTCAGAAGGCATATGCCAAGGAAGGAAATGGGTCACTAGGGCAAACAAAGAACTTGCTCAAGAGCCGCTCAAGTGATTGAGAAATCCAAACTGCCTCTTCCGCAGCAAGTCGAAACTTGTTGCTTCTGCGTACCCTTTTCAGCAAAATCAAGACCTTTCACGTAAAGTGTGCAGAGTAGTGTGGGGTCCAGTGCATCACAACAAGGTCATGTATGGCGAGATCTATCGCATTGGCATTCTAAGTTTGTTTTAAAAAAAACATGTTGCTCCACTTGAATTCCAGCTGTGACACCTACTCTCATCTATATAGATCTGCTCATCTGCTCACCAAACGTCCCTGCTCTTGCCACCTTCGGCTCTTCCCTTGTCCGCCCAGGTGTGGGGGGCCTGTCCTGGCAGTGTCGTGTGGCGTCCGTCGTGGCCGCGAAGACCGCTGAGCCGCCGAGCGCAAATGGCCGACACACCAGAGACCAAACCCTGACAGACCAGGAAATCACTATGGATCACTATGGATCACTATGGTCTACCAGGAAATCACTATGGCAGCACTGTTGTGGCAGCAGTGAGGAACACAACTCTACTTTTTGGCCCTCCTGCCCGGGCACAGAGAAATTTCCAGACCTCCCTTTTTCAAAACGCGGACCACAACAGTGCTTCGACATTGCGCCGGTTTTTGTCCCACTGGCCGAATTGGTCCTGCCAACATAAAATCTTGGATTTCATGAACTATTGTAACCCATCACCTCTGCATCATCTGTGAATAAGGCTGGACCCACAAACGGAATCCTGTGGCAACGACAGGTGACTAGTGAAATCCAGTGGGCCGTGATCGCAAATGGTACCATTTCGCAAGATGATTCACCACATAAATTTTGCTCTTGGACTGCTTGTTCTCCTCAGTTCCAGAGATCACTCACATTCCACCCGGTCCCCGTCCCCTTCGACCGCCTGGAAAGCACCTCTCGGTCTGGGTCGCCAGCCTCAAGCTCGCGTGCTCGGTGACGGAGCGCGAACCGAGCGGGCGAGAGAACCACCTGCGTGATGCCTGCCATTGACGTGCTTTCTGTCGGGAAAAGACATGTCTCTTTCTTAAACGTCATCGTTTTCGCAAATGTCGCTTCCACGGGTCATGGCTTTGGGAATGGCCTGGACTGCTTGAGTGGCCCCACCCAACAGCTTCGGGGTGCTGGGGTGCTGGAAAGCAAGTCTGGAAATCATGCTATGACCCAAGAGTATGGATCTCCATGGGCAGTGTGTAGAGCCCAAGCTGTTCGACATTGTCATACCTTGGGTCTCCAGAAATGGCTCACAGCCTGGGGCATGTCAGCCCACCAGCCGAGTCCGACTCGGCCCAGTCCGATAGCCCACCACACACCGAGTCCTCGCGTTCCTCGCCTGCTAGGAGAAGTTCGTCAAATTCGATTCTTCCCAGCGGTGACCCGAGGTAATCGTAGATCTCGATCTTGTTGTCCACTCTCATCCTAGAAGCTTTGGGAAGTTGGACATTCTCCGGATTATTATTTATTGTTGTAGTCTGAAAACAAATATAACAATATGATAAGACTTCAAATATAAGACTTTAAAGACTTCAAAGACTTGAACCTGATATTTTTTGAAGTAATTGAAGTTGTGAGACTGAAGGGACGACGACACTGTCCAAAACTATGTCCAAGGGAGGGACCTAAAAGCTGTGAATGGATGTTTCTGCAGTTATTGCTGGTATACCTGTGGCGAAGGCAAAACAGTGCATCCCCTGATCCATCAGTCCTTGGAGCAGTGGTGGCCGTGAGGAAGTGTCTTCCATCAGGAGCCCAGCCACAAACCACACAGCACCTGAGGAAACCGATGATGGCATGGTCAGCGCTTGCACCGATAGGCACTGGCGAGTTGAAGGGTCTTGCGGAGCAAGCGCATGGGTGTGCCTCTGGCGCGCTTCATAGTTCTTCCTTCTCGAAATGGCCTTTATTGTGAAGCATTGCACTGCGTCTTAAGAAAGATTGAGTGGTACTAATCGAGTGGATCTACGGTGGGTATGCCCTCTCAACATGAAAAGACCAAAACACGTCTGATCCAGATCTCCTTTCATCCAAGCCACTCCATTCGAGTCGAGGCCATCAACTTCCTCGGAACTTCGTTCGTCTCTGTAAAAGCAAAGGACCCGTTCTTTCCAGGAATAAACATTAAAGGAAAGCAAATAGCGTAGCTACGCGTAGCTGGTATTGGAAAGTGATGAGTTGTTGGAACTTCAAGTTCAAACCTACTTTCTTATACGTTCTTGATCTTTCTTCTTGTCCTTTTCTCCTGCAACCACCTGTAACAGGCGACAGATTGACCCAATGGCATGCTTTGTCGCCTGGAAAGTATGAGTCGAATCCATCGGCTTTTCCGACCAAACCGACATCGGCAAATCACGCCCAAATCAGCTGGGCAAATCAGCAGAGTCGCAGAGTGCAATCCGAGGCACTTTCCAGGCTTGTCCCAGAAATCGGTGTCACCCTTCCTGGGCGGACGGTGACACGTCGTCATACCAAGAGTGGAACAAAAGGACGACACCGACAGAGCAGTACATGTTGCTTCATCCAGTGAGCCAGACTCTTAACCCAAGCTCTAGGGTTAGCGTTAGCATGGTCAGGCTTGGTGATTCCAATTGTCCAAAGGAGCTGTATGGATCTGTTTCCCCCCTCAAACATGGTTATTTGATTGCATTCTCGTCGAAGATTAGTTTGATATCTCGACCCCCAATCAAGCCATGGACGACTGGTGGCTCCATTAGGCTGAGTCATAGAGGCCCCAGCTCTGAGGAACGCACCACGTCCGTTCGGGATCTGTAGTTTTAACTTTACCGTTTAGGTTCAAAGGACAACGATCCTGTATCATCGCAAGAGCTGCAAGAGTTTTTTGACCGAGAGGTTCCTCTCGGTGGCCACCAACTCCATGGATTCCAACGAGGCACAGTTGGCCATAACCACCCAAGGTAAAGAAGCGGCCGAAGTTGTTCCACCTCGAAACGAATCGCCACGGTCCGTCTGTCTCCTTCAGCGCGGTCAACCACGGTCCGTCACAGCGGCAGCGCGGTCAACCCACGGTCCGTCTGAACCTGCTCTGAGGATCCAGGAGTCTTCCCCGTCAGACCACTCCAGATAGACCCAGAGCAGGGTCTCAGGGTCTGTCTGATGATAGCCATGATGGAGGAGACATGCGACGAAGAACTCTCCGGACCGGACGCTTTAGAAATCCATGATCCTTCCAGCGAGTTCCGATCCAAGAAACGCTGAGATTGTGTTGCGTTGGGGTTTAAGAAAGTATGGGCCATCCAAGAGTGAAACTAAAAGGAAGCTCCGTCCCAAAGTCACCCAACCATAATTAAGGGCTTTAAGCTTCAACACCCTGTGAAGAAACAGAACACACAGTTCTATAAGTACAGGTGGTGGCCAACTTTCTTCAAGCTCTCTATGTCCCCCGTGACAGACCGTGGCCGATGGTGAGCTCCCGGGACATCGATCCGGAATCCCTGATCCCCATCGGTTGCCTGATGGTATTCCGGTGACCTGTGCCGAAGTCCATGCGCTTGCTGGCCTGTGCCAGAGTCCGTACGTTTGGACAGCATTGGATCCAGATAACATCTGAGACTGTATTACTATACAGCTGGGCCCAGATAATCCCACATATATGCATGTATAGACAGACAAACAGAGAAGCCAATATAGTAGATATACAGATTCGCTCGACCAAGAGAATGGACACTTTATGTTGTTATATATTCTCGACTGGAGCAACGATGCATGGGAGTAAAAGGGTTTGTTGGACGCCAACAAAACGGATTGTATAGTATCGACTTTAATTCAAGTTCCGAGGACCTAACGCCGTTATGAACCTGACCAAGGCCAAAATATGGGATGACTAATATATGCTGACTGAATTGGATTACCTCAAAGAAACCGGATCAAACGTCAAATGGAATCAAATCGACTGTCTACATGATCCTATCCCAAACGAACGTCTGCGGCAATCAAGGTTTTATCTATATCTACATTAACTATCAATATATGTTCATATACCAAAATACTGTATTTGAACATACTGGGAGCTAAACTATGAACATACTGTAGAATACCATAGTCGACCCAATACCAAGGAGCTTTTTTGAGCAAACACTCCGTCACTCCACGCCTTGCGGCCTTCGTAGAGCGCCGCTGAGCATGGATGCTGCCCATGGAGCATCACAAACTCGTCCTGGAGCATCACAGACTTCTGGGCACCCAAACCATCCATCTCAAGCTCTTCGGGTGGTGGGTGAACATCGTTGATCTCCCACTTCAAGCATATGATGGGACTGGCCCACGTCATATGTCATACGCAAGGAACACATGGATGTCCAAGCGTTTTCAAGGTTTTTTGGAGTCTCCCCTCCGGATGGAGCAACAGACCTGGACGACGCCACATGGTGAGACTCCTTGAGGTTCCCTCAGCTGGTTGCAGGGCTACCCTGCCAAGAATCAACATACAACCATTTGGTCAAGGAAAGGCATCTTCCGTCATCTTCCAAGCTGTTATGTGTGTAGCATGCGACGTTGAATGCCCCAAGGCAGGAAATATAGCGCCCTTGTCCTAGTATTCCAGGCTGCAAAGTGACGCTTTCGCAAATGAAGAAATACCCAGGAATGGAAGTTTGGAGAGGAAGATGCTGGGGGCATCTGAGAATCTCAGAAACGAAGGGATCTGAAATGATGTGAATATGCTGGGGTGTTCACTCAAGCTCCCATCAGCTCCTGCGTAGGGTTCCACTGCACATCATGCAAAGGCCCACCATCGGCGGAGGCGACCAGGGAGGTCTGCCGTGTAGCAGAAACGGAGGTGAGATGTGATTGGGGGCACCACTATGTTGCATTTGCCTGACTGTGTCCCTATGAAGATCACACTCAAGGGCCGAACAGGGTGAATGTTCAAACGGAAAGCAAGGCGTTCCTTAAAAGCAAAGCCGATATCGTGCTCAGCTGGGGCCCCAGCACCCGAATGGGGTTGAGATGTTCTGCTGGAATTTTGTGGCCCCACAGGGCCACAAAATGACTTCCACATTGTGGGTATCACATCTCGATCAACCACTTGACCTTCTTCTCTACCTGGGGGGTCACAAGTCACAAGCTGCTTGATCGTGAATTCCATACAAGAGGCTGCCACTCACTGCCACCTAAGCCGAACACTAACAGTCCAGGTCCAATTCGCGCAAATCAACCACCAAACGGCCCAAGACGATCAGCCTCTTCTCCATCTGCACGAAGGAAGTAGAGGCTTGCATCGCCATAGTAGCTTTTTCCAGTGCTGGCCTCCTGAGATCTCGGCTCACCACCCATGGTGGAAGAGAAGCCCACCAAGGGGTCCAAAGAAACCCGAAGAGAAGCCCTACAATCCGAATGCTTTCGATTTCAGGGGGCGTTTCGCCTAGTCTTAACAAGCTCAGAGTCCTTTCGTGCACATGAACTTTGATCATCCTGAAACGACCAAAAAGCCCCCGTAAGAGTGAAGCGGCCACCCTCTGTGCCCACCTGCCCTGAGCTGCTCAAGCCGGCCTCCGTTGAGGCTTTCACTAAGACCGCTGTGCCTGTGTTGTTCCAGGACATCGTCACCTGAGTGGCCAAAGATTGGCGGAAGGCCTGAAACCAATGCCAGATCAAGCAACACTGGGTTCAGGTCTGTCTTGAAGCTGATAGATCTGCTAATCGCGCAAGCTAAACAAGTTAGTGTTTCACGCATCAACCTCTCTTGGATCAGCCGATCAGCCTAAAGGATTTTATATGTGTTGAATAGTATCAATATGATTATCAAATATGTGTTTCGTGTGTATATTTGCAATCGCAGCAATCAATCTTACTAGGCTGAAGTAAGGCACCAACACAAATAATTGATACCTCTCTTTTGAACTCTTCATGCTAAGTCCTCCGTCATCTCCCTGGTCAGCTTGTCTGCATGCAGTGAGCGTCACTGGGTGACCCCACGGCCTGCGCCTGCGAGTGGGGCGCCGTTCAACACGCGCCGCGCCACACAACCGTTCGCCACGCGCCGAGCCTTGAAGAAGTTCTTGGTGGCAGTGGCCTCGGTCAACTGGGTCAAAAGGGCCCACTGAAAGAGCCCAGCTCTTCTCTCTTTGATCCAAAAAGCCTTCATCTGGCGGTGGTTCATACCTTGGTGAACCCATGCCAACCCATGCCCATGATGCAAACCGCGCCTCCCTTTTGAGTTGGCGTACAATGGTGCAGCAGAATGTTCATTGCAATTTGCAATGCCACTGATTCTGATATTGAACCCTGCCCATGAATCGTTTCAAAATCCAAGTTAAAATTCCCGCATACGCATGTATACGCCACATTCGGAAAACGCGTGTGAGGGGACTTCCCCGTGTTTGACACCCACCCCGCGTCTCTACCAGAGGAATCCTTGTCTGTCAAGACCGGGACGTAGCAAATCAACCATGCAATCAAATTAAGCTAAGACAGTTCTTCTGCACCGAATGTCGAGCAGCAATCTGATCAAGATGCTTGGTGCAGTCGTCAAAAGCTTGGTGCAGTCGTCTTGGGACAGAACAAATCTAAAGCTGGAGAATGTGCAAAGCCCAGATTGAGCAAATTATATCATAGAATTGGATGTCTTGTGTTTGGAATTGAGCAGCCAAGAGATGTATCCTGAGCAACGAAGGGTGTTACACGCTGGAGCAGTGTCAGTCTGGTAAACTTCGGCACCCACCGGTGGCATGACTTTGAAATTCGGAAGGGTGATCGTCATGTTTCGTTCAAAGCACCATCCTTGCCCTGCACTGTTTTTGCCCAAACCGCTGTGAAAAAAAGGATCTCAATGGTTTCCTTTGGGTGTTGTTTAGAGAGATCAGTGCCAGGTATACCTATTGGCCGTACACTTAACCGGCCCACCCTCTCTATACCAATCACCCGGTATGGTAGAAGGACATCTAACGCAGGACCTGTCCGGTCCTGAAGAACAATCACAGATCTCCGCCGATCTTTGCCCGATTCTCCGAGGTGCTCGTTTGGGTTCATCCAATCGAAAGACCTGGATGAAGGCTCGGAACCGCCACAGTTGCTCGCTCGGAACCGCCTGAAAATGCCAACCTGACCTATTGCGATCAATCGGAATTCGCCAAGCTTTGTCACCCTTCAATCTTCCCCCTAAGAATGGACCCACATATTAGGCTCTCAGGCCTCATCTTGCTGAGGTCTCTCGGCCATCTCCGCTCGCACACGCCCGCAACTCTGCTCTGCTGCTCGCAAACGCTCGTTACGCTCCGCTCAACGCAAAACGCGAAACGCTCCCCGCCTGACATCGTGCCGGTTGGCCCTTCCATTCGGCGATGCACAGGGCCACATGCGGCGCACCCGCACCGCCGGCGCCGGCACCCTTGGGCGCCACCTCGAGACCGAGGCGAGACAGGCGGGGGAGATATGGGAGACATCAAATGTGGGTCACTTGTTGTTCCGGGTCCAGGGTGATCATGATGGATCATAGCTTTCTGAGAGCATGTGCAAGGGTTTGGTCAAAATATCTTGGGCCTCACTCAGCCAACAGCAGTGCAACATCTTGAATTATGTTTCAAGGCATAGAGCCAGCTCTATGACTGTAGTTGGGCACCCCCACCACCACCTAAAAGATGTGGATCATGTCACGGTCTTTCTTGTTGTTCTTTTCCATCGTTTATCGCTACTACTACTACTACTCCTACTACTCCTACTACTCCTACTACTACTACTACTACTACTACTACTACTACTACTACTACTACTGCTCCTACTGCTACTGCTACTGCTACTGCTACTGCTACTGCTGCTACTCCTGCTACTCCTGCTACTCCTGCTACTCCTGCTACTCCTCCTACTCCTACTACTTCTACTACTACTACTACTCCTACTCCTACTACCAAGACTACGACTACGACTACGACTACCACTACCACTACGACTACTACTACTACCACTACCACTACCACTACCCCTACCACCACCACTACCACCACCACCACCACCACCACTACTACTACACCTACTACACCTACTACACCTGCTACCTGCTACCTACTACCTACTACCTACTACTTACTACTGCTCCTGCTGCTACTACTCCTACTACTACTCCCAGCCCCCACTTCTAGTCACTTCCCCCCACTTTCCAGGCCCATCTTGAAAAAAGAAAACACTCCTCAACTCCTCAACCCCAATTCTTGTCCACCTAGACACTCCTCTTCCCATCCCTTCAGCCTCAAATGCCATGATGCCCGGCGCTTCGATGCGTGAGATCTGCGCCGCTTCGATGCTCCGGCGGAACACGTGGAGCGACGACGTCGGACTGACGAGTCAGAGGAAGCGGGAGGTCGGTGTTGGGGAGAAAATGGTCATGGTGAGGCATGAGAGGTGGCTAGAAGTGTGGGATGTGTACAGGTGTTTCTTTGGCCTTTGTGGTTCTTCCCTGCGTTGCTACTCGTGGGGTGGACCCAAGTAGGGCTACCCTTCCAGAAAAAAACCAACGTGGTCAGACCACTTCCTTCTTTCGGTGTCGATCACATAGGGAAATGGCGGCCGAATTGACCTTCGTCCAATGTGCAGACCGTACACTGATCCTCGCTCAAACTGACTCCTGTAGCTCCTCCCTGATGTTCAAACCTTTGCAAAGCCCGGTGAAGATCTTGCATAAGCTTGGACGTTTGTGAAGTCTCTGCTGACAGGGACAAGGTCGCCTGAAAAAGGACTGACTATTGGCTTCCATCAAGGAAAAATTGCTGCAGCAGGTCGTCTGCGTTTAGGTCTAATTTTACTAGCCTTGGCGGAGTATATTCAGAGATCGCTGCTCCAGTACTCAAGTCAGTCGAGAAAAGCAGACTTCTATGGGCCATCATGGGATAGTACACTTCTTAACGTGTTGACGTGTTGTTAGTTATTAATTCTCCTTGTAGCTTCTCCTTTCAAGAGAATCCCATACAGCGCGACATGACCGTTCCGACATCTCTCCCTGAGCGCGGCACCTCTGTCTCACGGTCGCAGTTGCCAGGCATAATTTGCACGGCATCCTGGTCCACACGGCGCATACGGCGCGTGGCCGGCCATGAAGAATTGAGTACAAACATGTGAAGATCTGATCAGAAGCGGGAATAAATCAGGTAAATGTCTTCCACTATGGCCTTACTGAATTTCCCAAAGACCTTCGGTTTATGCAATATACCATGATATCCATAGGTTAAACTAAACCGACCATGATCTGCCAAAGGTCATTACCTCATATCCAGTCTTTTGACCTCAGGGTTTTGCGCAGTGACCAGGTGACCAGACACAAGGTGACCGCGTGGCCCTGGTCTGACCAGGGGCTCTGTTTTGCAGCCATGTCAAAATCTTCCATCTGAACAAGATTGAACGAGTAAAAAAGCATCCAAGTGAACAAGCCGAATCTCAGTCCATGTCTGCCGAATCTGCCCATCTACCAATCTTGGGATTCGGCTTGGGCTCACAAGATTGGCAGCCATGTTCATTACTTTGTAGGTTCACGGTTCACCTCTTCTCTCATCGGGATCTAAGACAATAAACAAAGGGATACAAAGGGCCATATAGGAAGCGTGACAGCCTCGGTTTTGATCAAAGGGTCACATCATGCTCCAAGTTCCCAGGTTCCGCCTGCACCATCCGGCAGCAATGAGTCTCCATGGCAGTCCATTTCAAGGGTGGCCAGGTCATTGCCTCAGGGTAGATCAACTTGGGCACCTCCAGTCATGGTGGCACATAAGCCTTTGGGTCAAACTATGAAGCCAGTGCCGACGACCCTTGGGGATGTGAAGCGAGCAAAAGCACGTCCCATCCCCAGATAGAAAAAGTAACTGGGAAGAATGCCCACCCGAGTCGATATTCAAGAACATCGAGGGCTCCAATTTGGATGGCCCAAATCCAACCCTCCTGCTGAGTCATGGATGGGAAAAGGAAAAATCTTCTGCACCGGCTTTGCTGTGGTTTGGGGGATCCAGCTGTTGCTTGGTATGCTGGTATGACAATGTAAGAAATCATCTGGAGAGCGGACGCTCTTACCAATTAGGATGGCTAGCGAAGGATGGCTCGCCAGATCTGCTCAAGCAGCTCATCTTCGCCCTGATGCGTCCACTTCCCCGAGGTGGTCCGTCCAAAACTTGAGACACCCTCATGTTAACTTCGATAAACAAACTCCCTGGAATGATCATGGCAGCGGATGGCGTGGCTCCTTGGATGATCATTTTCTTCTACCGCGGTTTTCCACTCACGTAACCATGATTCTTTCAGGCAGTGGAGTGAGTGTCACCTTCTTTATGGAGGCTCTGCACCTCAGGCCCACTTCACTGAATCTACGCTCAGTTGCATTGTAGTTCTTCAGAGTGAAGGAGAACCGCATTTCGCCTCAGACTCACAATGGCCGAAGCCATGATCTGCTCAAGCGCCTGTGTGAAGTTGCCCATGTGAAGCGCATGTGATCTTGAGTACTAAGCGGGCCATTGCCATGTTTTGACTGAGCACCTTGTCGAGAGACCATGGAGCAACCCTTTGGTCGTTTTCACAACTTCAGAAGATAGCTGATTTCACACTGGGAGTCGTTTCACCTGTAGTAGCAATAGAGCTTTTTCGTATGTCTTTGAAGCTTCTTAGTAGTAAAGCTTTCTAGTAACTAGGAGCTTCCTTGGGAATTTCAGCAGATCGCTGACGCTGTATTGCTATTATATATTACTAAGAAGCTTAAAGACATACTAGAAAGCTTCTTGTTACTACAGGTGAAACGATTCCCAGTGAAACGATTCCCAAGTCAGATCTTCTTTTGCACGACCTCCAACATTTGGTACATGCTTCATGACCATCTGACCCGGTCGGTTGATCTGAGCCATGCCCTTAACCCGGCCAGGCCTGTCTTGGCATCCCAGACTCCCACATTGTTGCCACCGTCCTCATGGGGAGTCTTGTGGAGGATGGCCTTGAACATATCTCATGATATCCCAAAAAGGCTGCACAGCACCGTTCGAAGATGCTTGGGTTGGACCAAAGTGGAACGTGGAACAAATGCTCACGGCCCACACCTGCTTTGACCAAGATGCTTGCCGGAATCACTTCAAAGCTGGTGCAAAGAAGCTCTGATGGAACATGTTCCTGGACCACCGAGGCCTTGTCACTCACTTGTACAACGCTCGTGCTGAACCGAGCTCGGTTAGGTCGTCCACAGCCTTGCGCACACTTGGCCAAACAGTTTGATCGGTACCAGGCCCTTGATATCAGACTTCATGTCTTAAATCAACAAGGTGATCCTTCACGAGCCACGAGCCCGGCCGCTCCCGACCCAGTCCTTCTCCCATCGCTCATAGGTCACCAGGTGGTTCCCCAGCGGCGAGAAGTAGAAATTCCTGGCCGTGTGGGTGCGCCATGGGTACGAGTACCAAAAGACTGGTGCCTTCGAAGGCCAAATTTAAGGCATTCCTGAAAACAACAAAAAAACTCCCCAACATTCCCCAACATGAACTGCTACCTACTACCCTGCGAAATATTGGAGATCGAACAAATGGGCCATGAGAGTGCGGGCAGTTGCCACCCGATGCCTCCTTGAAATGACCAAAACGAGTCCACGTGTGAGGATGGATGCCTCCTTTCTCTCCGGTTGGTTTCGTCCTCACACCACCGACGAGTGCAGGAACTTGACACAAAGGTTTGTAGCCATCAGCCGCATCAAGCCTTAGGACGTCCATCCGGATGATGAGTCCATTCGGGTGTTCCGGAAGAATAAGGCCGCCATTGGGCTGAAAATGGTTGAAAGGTGGCCAACCACTCCCACGACTCCTGTTTTTGTGGAAACTGAAGACTCAAGGTTTGAAAACCTCGTCCAAAAAAAGAAACGACTTGGCTGGCTCATCAGTGGCAACAGAATCTCCGAATGAAGATTCTCAAAGAGGAAATATGTCTGTGGTGTTCTACTAGGAACAAGTGCATCGCTACTAGTAACAAGTGCCTTACTAGTAGTAACAAGAAGCTATTAGAAACAATAAACAATCCCAAAGTGGTGTGGACGGACGGACTGGTCATTGCTGGGTTTTTCAACGTCGCATGTGAGCACTATGAAGTCAGCTTCGGTGTTTTCCACCGATGGTTTCACCATGTCTAAAGGTCCATGGTGCATATGCGTGTGTATTTTAATAGGGGCTCAACCAATGGGTGTTGGTCCTTTTTCCCTTCTTCCAGGTATTTGAGAGGTCTCCCTATTTTAATGCACACTCCTATGTCAATCACTGCACTGACTCAGCGCACTCAAGCTCCTGGTCCAAGCAAAGCGGCTCCAAAACCCACCTTCAGGAGCCAAACGCTCCAGAAACTGCTTCCCCATCCCATCTGACACACCGCCAGGCAGCACTTGCACTCCGCCTTTGGGATCCACCAAGCCCAACAAGGCGCCTTCAGCGCCCCACTCACAGGACTCAGCAGTGCTCACCTCAGCCAATCGGCAGGTAACCAGGTATGCTTGGTGGGGAGGCCTTGTTGAACGCTGCTCAAGTGAAAAGGGTATTCTTATGAAAAAAAGAAACACATAAATATGAAGGGTGCTTTCAAGGGTTACATCGTGATACATAGTGTATCAACGCCCGTACCTCAGTAGTGTTCTGATTGCGTGAGGCACCAAAACCTTGTGGCGAAAGGATGACAGTTCCGTGCCATGAATTGAGTTCCCCGGCCGCCGGGAAAGAGAGGTCCGGTTCGGAGGACACCGTTTCGCCGGGGCGAAAGGTGTACCTGGAGGAGTTTTCCACGAGTCTCTTCGAGTTGGAGGCCATGTGGTGGTTTTGCCAATCCGAAGTCATCTGTTTGGTAAACTCTGTCATCAAATGGATTCAGGCGAAATGAGACTTATACGCGGACTGATACACGTTAAGAGGCTTTTAAGCTGCTCGCACTGCCGGTCCTTTTTCCGCCAGGTGCCTTTCGTTCGGCCCCCGAACGGCTACCTCTCACTGATCATAAAACCTGAGAAGGACAAGCCCAGGTCAAAGCAAGACTAAACCTACGCAGGTCTCGTTCAATGAGAGTATCGTTCCTTTGTCAATCACACGACTCATGCCAAACGCACACCAAGTTTGGGGGATCTGCCAACTCCGGCGCACGCAGTCCGAACAATTCCCCGTCGATGGGATGTGCACAGTGAGCCGTGCTTGGGGAGGTCGAACGAAGCCGAGAAAAAAACAGTACAGCAATTTAAGTTCACAGTGATTTCAGAGTAGATGGCACAGTCCCCAAAAGGTGGTTTGTATATATAGATGTACATATATATATATACATATATTATTATAGACCCCCCAATATAAAATTCATCTTTGGGCTTGTGCCATCTACTCTGAAACCACGGATTTAGGGTATTTAGGGCCTATAACCAATCGTCTAGTCTTTCAACATTGGTCTTGTCTGCCTTTGCTGAAGCCGTCATGGGTCCGAGCAGCTCGTGGACAAACGCTTTTGGAAACCAATCCGCTTTGGCACCTGCGAAAAGCACACATGGAACACCCAAGTCTGATGAAAATTCATATTAAGGTCCTTTGTCTTAAGGCCCTTGGCACCTCCTGGCTTGATGCCATAAAGCCATTCATCTCGTCTCTCAAGGACCCACACGATGTCGCCCTTCCTTGGCAGCGATCCCCGACGAGATCAGGAAGCTGAAGTCGCACGGAGAAGCTGGGACCTTCAAAGATTCCTTTGTAAATTTGGGGAGAATTCCTCAACTTGGCTCGGCACGCCGAAACTACCTCAAGGTCACTCTTGATCTCTCTTGATGGAAGAGTTGTGACATGTGCAACATCAAAATCAAAAAGTATGGACACATCAGAAGGTACTCCGAGTTAAACTCCCAGTTCCAACTGCCAGTGATCTCCACCAGATCAACCCATTCTCCAACCAAATGCTAAAAAAGATTGCAGACATTTGCAGACCACAGATCATAGTCCGCCTCCAGTCAAACGGAAACCATGGATCCGTTCTTTAAGGAAACATGTGTATCCGTTCTTTCGAGGCACACCCGACCCGAAACATGCAGTTTCGGCGCACAGCTGTAACGCCAGTTTCAGGTGGGCGTCGTGGCCAAACCAGGGAGGTCTTGGAAGACGCGGCACTCACCTCTAGCGATCTTCAGGATCTCTTGATGATCCGTCTTCTGAGCCATCCTCCAGCAGTGGGCAAAGCTCTTGAGACTCTTGAGAGCTATTTGCTCCAAAATGTTCGGACTGGACGTCGGGACGTGCTGACTGGAAAGCAGAAATGAACGACGACTTCGGCAGGTTGGTACCATCTGGACATGTCAGACCGTCTGGACCTCTAAACCAAAGGGTGGACCTCTGGACCGGACCCATCGGTTTCTGTCCCGTTCTACGCAGCCACTCAGTCAGGATGAGTCAGTGCTGGCCTTCTGGGAACCAAAGGAAAAGAGATTAATCGTCCAAACTCTCAACATAGATTTGTCTTGGGGGACATCTGAGTATCTGTGCCTTTGCGGGACATTCCCTTTGGCCAATGTGCTGGGTGACCCTCCCATCCACTCGCTTCCCGCTCCTCACCACGTCGCTGTTGAGAACCTGTCACACACATGCAGTTCGTTCCAGACATGCTAATGCACCAATTGACAGGTTTGTTGCACGTTCGCAAGAGAGAGAGAGAGAGAGAGGAGTTCTCCTTCACTGTGTTCATTATCCTTGCTAAGCAGTGCGGGAGAGTGTGGGATTTCGTCTGTGATGATTGTATATAGCTGGGCCAAGAAAGCACCCGCTCAGCTTCACATTTCAGGTAATTGTGATGTAGTATGGTGTTGTTCGATGTATTATCTAAAAGAACTGAAAGTGCTTGACACTCCGACTCAGTAGCATGGATGGCCTCAAAGCGTTTTGTACTACAGTAAGGATTATTGACAGAGCCACTGAGTCCTATCAAAACCATCGCCTTAGGCGAGGGTGGTGGCTGGCGGCCAGGGAAAGCCTGGCGAAGCCGAAGAAAAAAAGAAAAACTAGCGGACCATTGGGAAGAAGGGTGGTAAAAAAAGATTCAAAAGAACGACAAACCTGCTGTTTTGTATCTGTTTGTGATGTTTGTGAGGAAATAGGCATCTGCTCCCCGTGCTCCCCAAATCAACTTGACAGCAAGCTTGTCAGGGTCTCTATTGTTCCAGCTAAACCCTGGTGCCCCCAAGAAAATATCACAAATTGGTCACAGCACGAGCATCTACCCCAGGTCTAGACAGTGGTGTTTTGGGCCATTGAAAAAGACATTGACTCACATTCTGTGCAGGTCTGGTCATCCCTTTAGACGGTCCAGGCCAGTGGGGATCGCGCGGATGCAGGCCCCCCAGGCCCAGGTCCTTTTGTTTCGGCGCCTTCACCGGCGGTCCACCACCAGTTGGGGCCTGAATCCAACTGGGCAGCCAGGAAGCCTGGGCAGCCACGATTTCTGAGCCAGTCAGTTAGCGTTTCTTGTGACGTGACAGCTGGGTTTCGGAAGATGCTGAGACATTGAAGCAGGGGTGCACAGCATATGGGCTCCACAATCACAAAGTGCACCGGGCAAGACACCCCTCCTACCTCTGAGCAACCAGAGATTCTCCTAATTTCAATACAAAAAGCCACAAGTCTCCATGTTGGCTTTGATCCTTTCACAAGCTCCTCACAGGTAACATTTAATAGCCTTTCGCAGCCTCCTCATCCATAGTCCTATAGTAGTAAGGCTAAGGTTGCTTACGGATTTCTCTCTGTCTTTGCCAGCCTTGCCGGCTGGTCTGGGCTGTGAAGGTGGAGCGCCCTAGCGGAATCATCCGCTCAGTCCAGGCCAAAGCCACACGTCACCAATGAACATACAGAACACTTCTCTGCCTCGTCTGACCCTCAGCACACAGGGAACAGCATCTCCCCCCTGACCGTCCGCCTCTTCAGCTGGCTTAGGTTGTGCAGGTGGAAAGGAGGCCTCTGCAGGGATATAATTGCTCAGTCCTCCATTTCAGTGGGTCTCGTCCATATCATAATAAGATCGATGGCCTCCAACCTAAGAGCTACCTACTAGCGATGGCCTCCTTCCTATGATAATCTGCTTACCGACAAACACCGCAACATCGCAACATACCCGAAACGCCTGCGTGCTTGGTCGAGGCGGTGGCGTGCTTGGTCGAGGCGGTGGCGTGCTTGGTCGAGCCTGGTTTCGGAAAGCGGCAGGAATCTGGCCCATCTGTATTCAACATGATTCAACTAGGTTCAACAGTAAGAAACTCTCCGGGTGCTCGGAACCTAGTTGAATACAGATGGGTAAGAGACTCTGTGGTAACAGACTCTCTCTGGGTCAAGCTGTGTGGCCATGTGCTCTCTCATGACGATGCCATGCGCCGAACGTTCCCTCGCCAGTCATCGTCGCTCCGTCACGATGCGATGCGCGTCGCGGACGTGCCGTCGTCATCGACCCAGGAGCCTCTGCAGCTTGCTTAGGCTGTGCAGGTGGGAATGCCTTTCACGCTACGTGCGCCACAGTGAGATCGGTCAACACGGGCATCGTGCAAACCAAGCTAAGGACCAAAATTCACCCAGCCACCTGCCTGTGTGGCTGCAGTGGCTGCAGTGGCTGCAGTGGCTGCAGTGGCTGCAGTGGCTGCAGGTCTGGGCTGTGATGGTGGAAAAGCCTCAAAAGAAAAGAATCCGACCTTCCAAGCATCAAGTGTTTCAGTCGCCGAGGTCTGGTAGCATCGCCAAAAGGCTATAAGGAATGCTTCGCAAAACTGATTGTATCTGCGTCTCCCCCTGACTGTCCGCCTCTTCAGCTGGCTTAGGTTGTGCAGGTGGAAAGGAGGCCTCTGCAAGGAATTATTTCCTGATTGTCACATGGATACTCACACGCAACAGTACACATATGTACACATTACACTTCATCAGACACCAAGCCTGAGCTGGTGCTGGTCTGGGCTGCGATGTGCCGAAGGCCTGGTAGCCAAGCAAGATCAACTTGCCCAAAAAACTGCACTCCAATCAATGTAGAGCGGATAAAACAAGCACTTGGCATCGGCCATTCACTGGTCAAATGCAACTTCCTCATGCAATCCTCGCCCTTCTTTCAATCCATTTACTATGATGTAGCTAGGGTATCCATCCAAACGCACGAGGAAATACAAGGAACATCAATGTTTTCCGACACCTGCTCCGGCCAACGTTTCATTTCCACCCGCCAGTGGCACGGGCACATGGGTGGCGCATGCTAATGGTGGCGCCCGCATGGAATCCGCCTGCTCCGGCATTGGTCTTGGGCGCACATCTGCGGGAGCAGCCTGACCCAAGTCCCAAAGCGTCATGAAAACGGTTGAGACTTCTCCCTGCTCTTCGGAGCCATGGAGAGCTTCTCCATGGCACAGTAGTCACTACCTTACTCTCCTTTTAAGTCCTTTTAAGTCCCCACATCAGGCATGAGAGGCCAAAAAGCCATCGACCGAAAGTCACCTTCTTTATCTGTGTTTATCTGTTCAACCAGGAGGCTTGACCACAAAGAGAATCAGCCAAAATCTACCACAAAGCCTGGCTCAAAAAGCCATGTATCCTGTAGCAGCAGCGAACAAGTCGCATGTCCACGATCGATCAGTCCAAGTCGATCTGACCAAATCCATCGATCTGCGCAGCTTTGCTTGCCACATTCGACCCGAGCGAACGGAGATGTGGAGGGGCGTTGCGGAACCCGCCTCGCTTCGGGGGAACACCTCAGAGAAGACCCAAGACCACACGGGTGATGGGAAGCAGGTCCCTTGTATTGCTAATCTACGGTATATATTACGTTGGGCCTTACCGCGTCTCTGAGAAGAATGGCTTATATAGTGGTCAAAGTTGCTAGGACTCTTGCTCACATTCTAGGTGGAAGATGTACGATGTATGTTACACAAGAGATGGTTTAGGATCAGGACGATCCTTTTCCAGAACAGGTTGTTGCTGCCTCGTGCTTTCATACGATATGCTTCAATGCTTCGATATGTTCACCTTGGATAAACAAGCAAGTGCACGCGAGGGAAACGCGTTCGCACAAATCAACCGCAGCAGTTGCACCGACATATAATCAACGACTTTCAGCAGCCGTGCAGGTCATCCGTTGTTGTTCTAAAAGATATGTTGACAAAACGGAGGAAGGGGACTATCCAATTATCCTGGCCTGCCTGATTGGCAGGCACCTTGCAACATTGTGATCATGGGGAGAGGTCCACCATGGAACAGTTGTGGTTGCTTTAGCAGCAAACTATCATGAAAGGTAGCTGGTAGCCACATGTAGCCACAAGAGATTGCACTGCGGACCAGTCTTGTCAAACATTGATTCTCTGAGTGCCGAGCAGAAGCTGCCGGTGGCCTGCCTGGCAAACCCGACCCGTGACAGGCCGGATCTTGGAATAGCATGGAGTGCCGGTGTGCAGCAAAGGAACTGATCAAGCTCACACAAAATACATCGAGGCCAATCCAAGGTATGCTCACCTGAAGATGGTCCTGTAGGAAACAACCATAATGGATCTCAACCAAGCAATCTTACGTTCACAGGGAAAATGCCCAGAGTCTAGGTTGTGTTTCAGCCGGGTATATATTGCAGTAGTTTTTTGGGGGTGAACTGAGTGGACAATCAACGCTAGCAGAATTCCAGATCATGATGTGTCCCTGTGCGAGCCCCCCCAGAAAAGCGAGTCAAACGGAATCGAAACCGGATGAAACTGGGTGAACGGAAGTGATCCGCAGAGGGCGTTCGTTCGCAACAAACGCACGCTGATCTCATCTCATCGCGTCATTCTTCGTCGTCATGTGCTCGTCTCAGTCTCAAAGAACATTCGGCCTATTGAAAGTCAGGACCCTGACCGGCCCTTGACCCATGCTGAAAGATGAAAAAAAGAAGGAGAAATGACGTTCTAATTTGGTATTATCATTGTGATAAACATTGTTTCTTGTTATTTTGTTCATTTCCCGTCGGCCTCGACCCGACGGCGACGACTCGCTGGGGAGCCACTCATCCGCTCGCAGCGGCGCCTGGCGACTCCGCGACTCAGCAGAGTTTCGTCGGAAGCTGGAGATCTTTTGGGAAGAAAAAGAAGTGCTTTGGAAAGGGAAGCCGATTTCAGCCCAGCTGGGAAGAGTTCTTTAAAAAATGTCAAAAATACAAAACGAACTCTAAAGCAATTCCGAAGCCTCCAACCTACTAGCCATGGCTTCCAACTTTGATGATTGAAGTGAGATATGACAACAGAGAAAGACACCAAAAACAGAGAAAGAAAAGAGCGGCGAAGTAGAAGACCAGGGGTGGACGTCATAACAAACACGTGTTGACTTACTGCTGAGATGCGGATGCACATCCAGTATTTGATTTCTTTAGCTTGGCCGGCGCATCTGAATCTGACCCCTATCTCTGTTCTTGTTGTGAGGCATTTTCCAAACACTATGAACTTGAGTTACATAGGAGCTACTGACCACAAATCCCAAGTCATTGGTGGCCTCAACTCCTGTGTCACCAGAACCCCGTATCACTGGGCGCATTCAGGGCGAGCTATCTGGGACACACCCAGCCCGTCCGCGCGGCCCATGACGCCGCTCCCACCCTGCTCTTGCTGTTCCCATTGATGTCCTTGGAGATTTGGGATGAGGGAGAACACCTGATGACCCAAGGGACCAGCATTCCCAGGGTCATGTGACATCTTGGAGTTCTTTTTTATCTCTATGTTTACCCTCTGCTCTTTCTTCAGCATATTGAACATTGAAGTGTCCACTTTGTCCTCCTTCAAGCCATTTTAGTAGCCCATGTCCTCCAGCAACCTGGTTTCGTTGGGTAAAGGGTCTTTCGTCAACGAAAGAGCAAAGGAAAAGTCTCTAGGAGATTCTGCAATGAACGTCCAGCTACTTCTGCCAAAAACATCCAAAACATGTGTCTCAGAGTGTCCCTCAGAGCT